CTGAGACATCTCTCCTGGACCCTCAGACTGCGGTCATTCCCTCTAGCGGAGAGGATGGAGGTTTGTTCTGAGTGTCGGTTGAATAAGCATGGATAGTTTTGGCAGCGAGAGGAGCAGCCCTCACTTCACAGGAATGTGCATCCTGAGAAGTTATTGTTGCTATGACAGAGGCTGAAAAGTGTAGTAGCTCTCCCTCTGAGTAACGGCAGGCTCACTGTCCTCTCTTTGTCACCTGCATATACAAACCAGCTCGCCAACAAACACACGCCAAAATCCCCAGACGGGTTATTTTAAGAGATTGCTTGCACATCGTTCAGGAATTTCATGATCTACTGCGAAGAGGAATGCTGTGTTCATGTACTGTATTCATAAATCAAATGCTGAGTTGTGTGTGTGAGTGTGTGTTGCACCTTGGAAAAATGTCCAACAAATGCCGACCATATTTTACACTTGCAGTAATCCTAAAGCAAGTAGTTCACAACTCTATCGTCCTAAAGGTCAAGAGTAAGGCAGATGATGTTGATACACGCTGGTCATGAGTTGACCTCTGTTGCAGAGACTCTTTACAGCACTGTGGTTTTAATGAGGACGGTCAGGATGGCTGAATTCTGAAATAAAAACATCATGTAGGTCTGGGTGAACTTTACTGTTTCCTCTGACGATAAGGGGAAGTTGTCTGTCGGTTGCGTCACCACCACCTATTCCAGTCCTATTTATTGATGTGTATGTGGATCAGTCAGGTGTGTAGTGACTGAAATGATAAAGGTATCTTACTATAAGGTCAGACATTAATGAAACATGCTATGTTGAAGTGCTGGCTTCTCTGACAACAATGCAGCAGCCAGTATGTCCTCCTTCTAACTTTAGATTCTGGTCCTGAATGCTCTGGATTTGTTTGGACCAGAGAAGGTAGGCGCTTTTAAGGCACCCCCACACGGCCGTTTTGGACGCCCCTCAGTTTACCAGATATGAGAGCAGTTATCAGGTCAACAGGTGTCGCAGCGATATGTTAACAAACCACATATGGATGTGTAACTAAGAAGATTGGCAGTTTTCCTCCAAAGTAGCTGCTAGCCATATTGTACCTTCTGTAGCTGTTAGCGTTTGGCTGTTGGCAGCACAGCTTTCTTTGCATAGAGAAGAAGAGCAATATGGTACAAGAAAACACTGTGACATCCCCTCTGATCTGCCTGATTAGAGTGATTATTCCTATCAAAACAGCATTAAATCGAGCTGGATTTAATCATGGAGACGTTCAGCGAGGATCCCACAGGGGCTCATTTGCCTTCAGAGAGAATCTATTATTGGAATTGGAGGGAACCCCCAGGAGAGAGTGTAAACCTGCAGAGACATGGCCCTGCTGCTTCCATCAGCCTTATATCCAGGTTACCCCGTGTCTCTGTAATCACACCGACGGACCACTGGGACACCGTGGGAACTGGGGCAACTGTGTGTGTGTGGTTATGTGTCTTCAGCCAGTCAGCACTTGGTTGAATACTAATCGCCCTCCTGAATCTAAAATCCTTTTTTTCCAATATCGCCCAGATGTCCACTGACTCGACGATGTAGCTCTTCAAAGGCCGAAGTTTACCCATACCTGACATGACACCCACGACAGGCTCAACCAATCTGACTCTTGTTTGTCCTTATTCACAGAGGACCACATTCTGACAACTTTGCACTTTGTGGTGCGAGAAAATCCCAAATCAGGCTGAGAAAACAGGTCTAACCTTTTCAAGATTTCTGTTGAATGGTCTGTCTGCGTCAGATGATTTGTAATCCCTCCACCGTTTCTAAATCTTACCTGCAGTCTCTTTCAAGTCGGAAGTGCCAGAGAAACTTTTAAAGGAGCGCCTCCCCATAAGGTACTCCAGTCAGATCCACCTCACCAGAAACCTGAATCCTCTCGATTGCTCTTAGCTCCCTGAGGTGTCTGAGCTCATTCCTTTGTCCGTCAGGCTGAGCCCGGCAACACTGCAAAAGAACCAGAAGAATCCATTTCTACCGTATTCTGGCTACACGATGGACTATTCTGGGACTGATATGCCCCGTTAACCATCATGGTCCGCTCCATCCTCCTTGACAGGTTAACATCCACATGCCTGTATTAAATGTTTTCCCACATTCTCCACACTCTTTGTTTACATCCGAGTAGTAGAGCTGGAAGAGCAGTCCCATTAACCGCAGCCTCTGTGGCTACAGCCACATCTAGTGGCAGGTGGCTGCCCGGCATCTCGGGCCAACATATGAAAATATGAATCATTATTTTAACTGACTAGTAATTCTGGTGCTGAATAGCGAGGGTGATGGCCACGTAGTCGACTGACCCGCACATCCCAAATTGGGACTAATGCAGTTTTGCTTAGACTTTGTGGTTCTGACTCCAACCAAGTTCTGCTGCAGCTCCGTTTGATTTCAACTATCATTTTCTAAATGATGAATAATCAACTTTAGATAACTCAATAGAATTATTTCCCTCTAATGTCTTTATGAGATCATATTCAACATATAATTTCAGTTTGCTCAGCAAACTGGAGCTCTGTGCCATCTACCTCGATTTCCTTATTTTAACAGACTAATCGTGTGCTAGCATGCCTTTTTGTGCTAGTGTAGTCACTTACTTGAAAGGAGCAATTCAACTTTATGCACGTCGTGTATGTTGTACAGAGACATACTGTTTGCATATCTGCTGTCGAGTGACTCAGCGGAGGCAGAAAGGTCTCACAGCAGCCTCACGCATGCATGGGAAAAACTGTGTGTGTGAGTGTGTGTGTTGTGAGCTTGCTGATCCAAACATGTCTTGAGACTTGTGTCTGTGTCACTGCTGGAGTGAGGTTTATGTGTGTCATCGGTGCAGATGGCTGCAAAGAGAGGGAGTGTTTTGCATTAAGCAATATTAATGCTGATGATTGACTTTATCTGTGAGTCAACTGCCAGCTGAACAGACAACCTGACATCATGATGTGTGTGTGTGTGTGTGTGTGTGTGTGCGTGTGTGTGTGTGTTGGCATTGAGCTCAGGTTCCCACCATCTCTCTCTTCTCACCCCATAATTTACGAACGTAGTCCTCACTCATTCACAGCCAATACAGTTTATGACTAAGTTAATCATACAATGTGTAGTGTGTGTGTGTGTGTGTGTGTGTGTGTGTGTGTGTGTGTGTGTGTGTGTGTGTGTGTGTGTGTGTGTGTGTGTGTGTGTGTGTGTGTGTGTGTGTGTGTGGTGTGTGTGTGTGTGTGTGTGTGTGTGTGTGTGTGTGTGTGTGTGTGTGTGTGTGTGTGACAGTTAGCAACCTGCCACAGTTGCATCAGCTCTCTATCTTCTTCATTAAAATCATTCACACTATCTGACAGTTGTTGGTGTGAGCTACAGATTGCGTTGTCATCCTTTTAAACATCTGCAGGAGCCTTGTTGTGTGAGTACTGACAGGTGTATGGTGTTTCAGCGTGTTTCTATATTTACATTTCCACTTTTGTATTGTAGTTTTAATGTTGTTGTTTTTTTTAAGTGATGCTATTTTTTGTGTGGCCTTTTTGCCTTTGTTGGACAGCTGGAGAGAAAAGGGCAATGTTGGGTGGAGTGAGTAGGGATCAACATGAAGCAAAGGGCCGAGGTCGGATTCGAACCCACAGTCAATGCGACTAGGACTATAGCCTCCGAACATGGGGCACGCAATATAACCGCTAAGCTATCGGCGCTCCCCCTTTTTACAAATACATCCAAGAAGAACCACATCGTTAACAGATATCTGCTAAAGTTAATGGCTTTCAATCGTTTCTCTTATGCATGCACTGTATACCCATATGTGGAACACACACACACACACACACACACACACACACACACACACACACACACACACACACACACACACACACACACACACACACACACACACACACACACACACACACACACACACACTCTCCTTCCACTGCTGCCATAGTCAAACATGCACCAGTCCTTCTTCTTCTGCTGCCTTCTGCTGCCATCTAGTGACCAAAGCTGGAACTGCAGGCCTCATTCACTCAGCAGGAAAATCATTTCCTTCATAATTTAGGATCATTAAATGAATTTTAAATGATAAAGCATCACGCAAAAACTAAAACACAAATAAATGAAATAAATATTTCCTTTTATTTTTGTTTATCTGTTGGTTGTTTGCAGCAGAGTCTGTTGAAGGCTGGTGGTGAAGCTCTTCACCTCAGCGTGTTTGTTTTAAATGTGACCAACATTTAAGTGAAGCTGGCTGTGGTTGTATAACAGCGCATGCCTGGCAGTAATTGTTATATAATGACATGTCTTATGTAATGGCAGCCCACAGAGGGGTCAAGACAGGCCAGATTTAACTCTGATTTAACTCCGTCTCACTCAGTCTTCATGTCACATCCACCATCCTCCTTTCTTTCACCTAATCAAAGTTTGTTCTTCATGTTGTGTTTTGAAGATCTTTAGAAAGATCATGTTGAGAAAAGAAAGACGACCTGAAACACTCGAGATTTTGGTCTGGAGCCTCATAGTCAAAAATTGTTTACATCATGACATTTCAGAAGAGACAGAAAATGCAACAGACAACTTCTCATTGTTTACTCTTCTGTCCTCCCTTTCCTCCCCTACTGCACCCTCTCTTCCTCCTCTCTCTCCTCTTCTTTTCTTCCTCTGTCCTCCTGTCCTTCACTCCTCCCCTCTAATCCTTTCCTTTGACCCCTGACCTCCTTCTAACCTTCTTCTCCTCCTTAACTCTTCTTTTCCTCTGTGATCTATCATCCTTTCCTCTCCTGTTTCCTAACGTCCTCTGTTCTACTTGTCTTCTCCTATCATTGTCTCCTCTCCACTTCATTCCTCTCCACTTGTCCCCCTCTCCTTTCCTCCTGTCAACCTCTCATACTCCTCTTTTTCTCCCCTAATCCCTTATCTTCTCTAATGCCCTCCTCCTGTCATCTTTACCTGCTTCCACCTTTCCTCTCTCCTCTCCTCTCCTCTCCTCTCTCCTCCTCCAGGCAGCTTCAGGAGCTGCAGAGGCAGAAGGAGATGGAGCGTGAGCGTCAGGAGCGTGAGCGCCTCGAGCGAGAGATGCAGGAGCGGGAGCAGCAGGAACGCGAACGTCAAGAACATGAACGTCAGGAGAGGGAGGCGCAGGCGGAGCGGGAGCGCCAGGAGCAGCAGGAGCGTGCAGAGCGTGCCGAGCGTGAGCTGATGGAGCAGGAGAAGGCAGAGAGAGAGCGAATTGAGAGGGAGCAGCAGGAGCAGTTGGACAGAGAGCAGCAGGACTGGGAGAGAGGGAGACGCATCTCTAACGCCGGTGAGTGATGCACTTTGGTTTGTGGACACACACACACACACACACACACACACACACACACACACACACACACACACACACACACACACACTTCTACCAGGGTTTGGACTGCAGACGTAGGTAGTTGATCTTAGTTTGCATGAGCACAGCAGTGAGAAGTGATTCTTATACATCCTAATGAGGAGTTTGCTGTAATGATTGATGCACATATCGTGTTGATGAAGTGTGGATTTCAGATTTCAGGTTTAAAGTTTTTTTAAAGATCCTCAAAATGACGTTTTGGATGCTTTTTGATGACATGCTTCACTTTAAACTTAGAGAAACACTTCCTGTAAAATATCTGAAAAGAAACACCAAACTATTCTTCACTGCAATAGTTGTTAAAATTTTGCATCTAAGAGCTGCTCTGCCAATTCCTTGGAGTGTTGCATTGTGGGAAATATTTAGTATTTTTTTTATTTTACCTTTATTTAACCAGGCAGGTCATTAAGAACAAATGACCTGCCTGGCGAATAAAGATGATGTTTAGCGAGCAAGAAGAGAGCGTGAGCTATATTTAATTTTCTTCAGATTGAATTGATTAGGTGTTTAAAACAGAGTTATGGTGCGACGTGTCATCAGGGCAGCAAGTTGAACTTTAATTTGGTCAATCGTTTTCTGAAAGGGAACGTCAACATCGACTGAAAAGTCAGCTGAAAGTGTCCCGTGTCTACATTGGACTCAGGCCTTCCCAACCTCAGGGTCTCGACCTCATCGCCTCAGATGTTTATTTATTCAGCACTAAGATGTTGTATATAAAGATGAACAGAGGCTACTGTGGGCCATAGCCAACGCTAAAACAAGAAACCTGCAGAGTCCCTGTCGTCAATAAAAACTATTAGATGGTGTGTGGCGATGTGTGAGTTGTTTCATGTGGTTTTAGGGGTGAGTGCATTATTTTTGAAAGAGCAATGTCAGCCCAAACACCAGTCAAACACACACACACACACACACACACACACACACACACACACACATCTTTAATGAAGATGTGAAGTGATGCTCATGCGTGGGAGTAAACTGTGGTCTTCCTCCTTAAAATATCCAGTTTATTATCTTTAATAAACGTCCTCCTTGTCAGTGCTCCGAGCGTAAGAAGCTCATTTAACATGAACTTCATGAGCTGAGTTCAAGTCAGGTTTTTTAAAAGCAGAGATAAAAAATGATTTCAGTTAAATATAATCCAGGAGGAGCGCGCTCTGACTTTAAACTGGAGCTGTAATGGATCGGAGAATCTGCTTCATGTAAAGTCTGGGTCAGTAGGGAAGGCCGCGTTGTGTGGCACGCTTCACTGCCATGATCAGCTCATTAGCATATGCATGCACACACACACACACACGCACACGCGCACGCAGATCGGTGGTGTTACTCAGAGGCTAAAAATACATCATCAGGGTGAACGCTGGTGAGAGCCCCAGGCGTGTGTGCGTGTGTGCGTGCGTGTGTGTGTGTCGGGATAAGAGAGAGGAATTATTTCACATTTCATACATATATGATATATGTTTCTGATGAATATTTAACATGCTAAAGAGTCCTGTCTCTCTGTGACAGGATCATCTCTGTGTGTATCTGTAAACGTTTTCAGGTTGCACTGATTGTTATTTACAAACGTAACACTGACGTCAGTGAAGTGTTTGCTTCTAACATGTAGGTGTCTCAGTACATCTTAAAAAGCTGTCACGCTTCTCTTCATTTATTAAAGGAGCAGTATGCAACTCTGACACCTAGTGTTTAAAATGGGTATTGCAGTCCAAATTCAAAACATTGTAGAGAGCTGTCCCCCCCCCCTCCTCTCTAGAGTTGATGCTCATGCAGGTTGCCATGTGGTGGACACTGAAGCTTCAATGTTTATCCAGCTCTGCATGTTGGTTTGACCTGATAACTGCTCTCATATCTGGCAAACTGAGGGGCGTCCAAAACGGCCGTGTGGGGGTGTCTTAAAAGCGCCTACCTTCTCTGGTCCAAACAAATCCAGAGCATTCAGGAGCAGAATCTAAAGTTAGAAGGAGGACATACTGGCTGCTGCATTGTTGTCAGAGAAGACAGTACTTCAACATAGCATGTTTCTTAATGTCTGATCAGATAGTAAGATATCTTTATCATTTCACTCACTACACATCTTACAGATTGATCCTTCAAGAAGTGTGATGTACCCCTTGTCCTTAAAATATTCCCCATGTACTCACGACTTTAGAGCAGCTGAATTTCAATTTCACTGTCAAACCCGTTCCTCAACATTTTATTCTTCAAATTGTTTTACTTTTCTCTTTTAAGGACCCATATCTGCAATGTTTTCCTAATTCATTTAATTCTGCCCAGCTCAATGGAACGTAAATAAACGTCTCATGTTTAACCTGCTAGATGCTAGTTTATTGTTTATTATATTGTAAAATAAGTCGTTGTTGTATTTAGCTAAAGAATTTAACAGGGATGATCAATTCAGTTGGATAGTGGGCAAAAGTTAGCACCAGCTTGACTTGCAGACTTTTACCAGGTCTCTTCGTTTAGATAAGGAGGATGATCCAGTTCCCAGTAAAAACCCTTTAACACATAAATATTGATACTCGGTATCTTTGAACACTCAGTTTGCTGTAAGTCCTGCAAGATGACTTCACTAAAGATGAGTTCAATGGTCTTGATTTGTCTAATCTCGTGTCTAAGTAGGTCTGTATCTAGGCAGCTGATTTGCAGTGTTTGCACTGACAGTCAAAAACATTCAACTTTAAAATATGGAGAAGTACAGAAGCCCGAAGGGGACATATATCCATAGTTTATTTGACTCTTCACTGAAACGAGTAAATCTGTGACGGTTTATTCAAGATCTCAACTCAATTATCTGCTCATCTAGAAACGACAACAACACTGGTGTTCCTGTGACAACGAGTTCATTTATAAAGATCTCTAAAGGGTGAGGGGATAAACTGAAATCAACAAGCGTTGTTATCCCAAGAACGAGAGACATAGGTCGACATCTCGACAAATCAACCAAAATGTACCACCAGGCTACAAGTAACAAAAGTGAAACCATCAGTTTCCTGCCTGGGAGAATAAAATAAAACACTTTGTATGGACGCAATGATTCAACGAGTTTAAAGAGAGAAGACCCCGTTACACATCAGCTCTCTTCTTCTTCTCCTCCTCCGATGTTTCAGACATCTGCCTTACTCAGAGAGTACATGTGCATCATCTGAAGAGATTATGTTCTGCATCTCTGCATCAAACACACACACACATATATACACACACACACACACACACACACACACACACCACACACACACACACACACATATATATACACACACACACACACACACATGCACATGCATATGCACGTAGCACTCACGCACACACGCACAAACACACGCACAAACACACGCACAAACACACACACACACAGTAACACACTTCGTACTGCGACTTAAATTTTTTCTTTAAACATCTTGAGCGTGCGTTCTTTAAAGTATTTTCAGATTGTATGTTGTTGATGTCAGTTAGGGAAATGTACATTTGTATTATGGGATTACATTTTTGTATTTAAAGTGGTAGCCATGACTACAAAGCCGTCCTCTTCCTTGATGTTACCTCTTTGTGTTGTTGTTTTGCAGAGGAGCTCGGCTACAGTGTGTCGTTGCTGTCATGAGTGTGCACGTGAGCAGCTCTCCATGTATTGTGTGTCATTCACAGCCAATACAGTTTATGACTAAGTTAATCATACAATGTGTCCCTTGAAACCGTGTGTGTGTGTGTGTGTGTGTGTGTGTGTGTGTGTGTGTGTGTGTGTGTGTGTGTGTGTGTGTGTGTGTGTGTGTGTGTGTGTGTGTGTGTGTGTGTGTGTGTGTGTGTGTGTGTGTGTGTGTGTGTGTGTGTGTGTGTGTGTGTGTGTGTGTGTGTGTGTGTGTGTGTGTGTGTGTGTGTGTGTGTGTGTGTGTGGAACAGCAGAGCCAAGCTGGGGCCTCTCAGTCACATGAACCGCCCAGAGCTACAGAGGGCTGGGGGAGAGAGAGAGGAGGATGTGATGATGAAAAAGGATGGAAAAGGTCAAAGTGCAGCAAAAGAAGAAAAGGAAGGGGGGGGATTAAGAAGAGTGGTGTCGTGGTGGAGTTCTTGGAAATAAAAGTTGAAAAAGTCGGAGGCCAGTGGAAAGAGGAAAAATATGAAGGGAAACACTGGGGCAAATGGAAAAGACATGTGAGAGAGAGATGTGTGTGAAGTGGAGTGGAAGTGGGAATCAGAGGATAAATGCAGCATGCAGCCGTCAGAATGTTCAGCTGGAAGGAGCAGAGACAGGAGGAGTCGTACAGATCCATCAGTTTGTCTTGACTGCAGTTTAGGCGTTCATGTGAAACCCAGCTCCCCTGCTGCTGTGTTTGAGTCCCGCAGACTCAGGTTAACGTTGTGATTTGTATCTGAGAGAGAAATTCTCATTATGCATACCTCTGTGGTCATGTGTTTATATTTGTTTATGTCTGTTTTGGGATTTAGGTTTTCCTTGCAGAGACACTTAGAGGTGATATGCAGATATCTGGGTGCCGGTGGTGTTGTGGTTGGTGCGGTCCCTGTGTAAGGAGCCATTAGTCCTCCAAGCACACAGTACGGGTTCAGGTCCGACCTGTGGCTCCTTTCCCGCCTGGCATTATCCTCACTCATTCTTTCTCTGCCCGGTTTCTGACTCTATCCACTGTCCTATCTCTACGATAAAAACACAAAAAGCCAAAAAAAATCTTTAAAAAATAAACATCCAGCAGATATCATCTCTATCCTAACTAAATATATGTTTGAGTCATGACGGCACCGCCCACTCCGGGAGGCTGTATGTAGAGGCGTAATGTAGTGTTGTCATAGAAGAACCACAGACTGTAAATATTAATGGATGAAGCCTGAGTGACATCACCTGTATGTTCTTGTAGGGGGCGCTGGAGTCCCATAAATGGCAGTCTCCATGCTGGAAATGTTGTCTCAGTCTTAGGGTGCATCCGGATTGTCCCTCCTTAAGAAAAGGATGTTAGGCGAACACATAAAGGACTTCGTCGAAAGGCGATCTTGTTGCTCTGACAATCCGACCACATTTCCACTAGGCCACATCATTAAATGCGACGGGCCAGCGGAGGTTAATGACGTGGGGTCTGCCGTGTTGAAACTACAATGTTCAGAAAATGGACTACTAAAAACGCATCTAAAAAACTTTCCCCCGTGCCTTCTTAACAGTGAAATAATCTAATTACTACAAGGTTGGGATTGAAATAAAAGACATATAGACCACCAGGCTACAAGTAACAAAAGTGAAACCATCAGCTTCCTGTCCAATCAGAAATCAACATCAAAATAAATATGATTGTATGAAATGAATTGTTACATTAATATAAGATATAACCTACACATAATGTTTGAAGCATACAAATGTACAACTGCACAGCATTCTTTTTAAAAAAAAAGATATTTATTTCGTGCCTTTAACTCAGAAGGAGGACAGTGGACAGAGTCAGAAACCAGGGAGAGAGAGCGGGGAATGACATGCGGAAAGGGGCCACGAGTGGAAGTGAACCGCTTGAGACGAGAGTCTCAACACATGGGACGCGCGCCCTACCACTGCGCCACCAGCGCACCCTACACAGCATTCTTAAGAGAATGAAATATGTTGAATCAAACATCATCTGATAAAAATGTCTCTTATCTTTTTATCTCTTTCATGATCTGTGTCACTTTACGATCATCATTAATGTTCCTGAACGGTCAGATGCGCGACTCGCTTTAAATGTTGCGGCCGCAAGGAATTGTGGGGCGGCATATCTCATCTCCTTTGGTAAAGGATGGTCCAGTATATCCTAGGCTAAAGGAGGTTATAAAGGAAGCATTGACCCACCTTTCCTTAACTTTTAGAGAATTTGAACGGCTCTTATCATGGCTACCACTTAAATGCTTCCGGGTCATTTCACTCAGTCAGGAACCTAACTAAGCAAAAATGACAATTCAAATGCACCCTAACTTTCAGTCAACCTAACGATAGGCTGAGAGCTGGAGCTGAGGCGAGTTTTAAGTCTTTTGATAAACATTACATTGCGCCCTCCTGTCAATCAGATCAGGATAAATGCCTTAGTGTGAATAACTCTTATCCTTCATCAAATCAAAACTGATGATCTTTTTTTTTTCATTATGTCAGTGAAATAGCTCAGTCTACAGTCCATTAAGTGTTTTAAATCAATTCATATCCATTAAAGGAAATCAAATCTTCAGAGAGATGTAGTGTCACTCTTAAGGGTCAGTGCAGAGGATTAACACCATCCCCACTCACACACACACAGCAAACATATGGCAGCCTCATCCTGCACTGTCAAGGCTCTGCTAAGCACCCAAACAAACACAATCAAGGTAATTAGTGTGAGAGGGTTCAACTCAGCAGGGAGCGACACTGTGAGGGAAAGACGAGGGATTAAAGACGGAATCATCACATTGAAAGGAGACAGTAAGACCTCCTGCCCACGGCTCCTGGAGAGAAGTAAGAAAAGCTGTTAAATACCATTAAGATCTCAAGAGTGGAGACGTGGGAGTAGAATAGAAAAAGAAAAAAAGTGTGCAAAATAAGATGAGTAAAAGAGGATTTAATAGTAAACAAAACATGGATGTAGTTTTATTCATCCCTTCAGGAGGTGACTCAGACAACAAGAGGACATGACACGGCTAACCACACATCACTACCCACTCTGCTCTATACAGCAAAGACAGGTACAAGCTCAGACACAGATACACTCTGGGGTCAGGGCCTGTCGACTTCTGATTGGTCCTGTACTCAGAGAATCCAGTGAGAATCAAACCACACTGACAGGGCTTCTCTTTCTATTGCGTCATCATTGTTGCAAACAGGATTTGTACAAACAGCAGTCGCCGCATTGTCTTCCATCACCTCAACAAAATGTGTCGAATCTGCACAAGTCTTATCACTGCAATAGAAGAAGAGACCATATGGACTGAGGAATCCACTCAGTTCTTTCAAGTACTTTCTGAGATAGACATTTCTTGTTCCTCAAGTGGTGTGTCCCACGTTATTGTTGTATGTCGTGGTTGTTTTGGAGGGTTTTACCATTTTACTCAAAACTCCAAATCTTTACCTGATGAAGTAAAGCCAGCAGACCTCTGAAGCCTCTGGAGTTTATTAATACCCGTGCTAAGTGAAGTAAGCAAGTGAATTTCAGTCACATGTGCATAAAAGAGCTTGACCTTAGATAATGAAAGGAAAGATTAGATGCACTCTATTGATCCTCCATTGGGGATCAATAGAGTGGCTCAGTGTTTGAGTCGGTCGTCTCTCAGTCGGTCGTCTCTCAACTGGAAGGTCGGGGTTTGATACCCAACCAAAACATGAAGATCCAGTCAGAGGACAGAGTCTCTGCAGACACAGCCACCACCACACATGTATGGAGGCCCTGGAGACGATGGAGGATAAGTCTATTTAATAAAAAGCGCTGTCTCTATCTTTAATGTTATCCTTTCATTGGACCCTGAACACAGCACTCTAGTTTCTCAACTCAGAAACTTTGTCATCAAACTTGTTGGTAGTTAAATCAGAGAAAATATGGAATATTAACTCACTGCAGGCATAGATATGTTCACTGTTCATTCTGTTTTTTATTGACTGTTATATTGATGTTTCTGTACATGTATGTGATGGGGGTCCATGTGATGAGCGGGGTATCCAGCTGCTCATCGAAGCGGCTTGTTGACTCTGGTTTTATAAAACTCTCTGGCTCTGTGCTTTGTGGTAAACTCTTGCTTCTCTGACTTGTTTCCCTTCTTCTTTCCTGAGATGAGACTGTGAAAGCTTTGTGCCTCTGGCTCTGTCCACAGCGCTAACACCTCTCCACTAACATCGTAGCAGCCTTAGAAACGTTTTGATACCTGGAGGAAAAAGTTTGGTAAAGCTCTGTGCTGGTTGTTCCTGCTTCATCTGCCCCCCCCCTTCTCTTTTTCCTCCCTTTCTCCCTCCGCCCTTCTCTCTCTCCTGACCTGCTGTCTTTCCCTCCTGTTTGCACGCTGGCTTCTACCTTCCTTCCTTCCTGCCTTCTTTCCTTACTTCCGTCTCCTTCCCTTCTGTCCTGTCTTGTCCTTGGGTTTGTCCATGTAGCCTTTGAGAGCACCCTGTACAACCCCACTCCTCAGGAGTACGGCAGGACATCCTCAACGCCCATATCTCCATCCACGCCCACCTACCCAGCTCCAGGGGTGCCATCACCCTGCTCCACAACTCCACCCACCCCCCCTTTAAGGCATTCGGCCTCCAGATTTGCCACCTCACTAGGGTCCGCCTTCCACCCGGTCCTGCCTCACTACGCCACAGTCCCAAGGCGACAGCAAGCCTTTCCCCAAGCACCGCCCCCTGCTGCAGCCCCTGCCCCTGTCCCAGCTCCTCCAGCTAAGTCTGTGGTGTGGTCAGCCTGTAATTTCACTCCCTTACCCCCCTCGCCCCCCGTCATGATAAGCAGCCCCCCAGGGAAGGCTGCAGGCCCACGGCCGCTCATCCCCATCGCAGCACCTTCCCCTCTCACCCAGAAGCCTCCATCGCCGGCTCCCAACGGCCCACCCATGTTCCCAGCACCTTCCCCCGTGACCATCCCACACAGCCACACCCCTCTCGGCATCACCTGCCCCACACCGCCTCCCCCGCCCACCCCACCCCCTCTTCCCTCACCTCTAGTCGCCCCTCTGTCTTCCTCCTTCGTCTCGTCTCCCCCCTCCTCATCCCAAGCTCCTGGTGTGCCCTTTCCCTCCACAGCACCCCCTGCTGCTGCAGCCGCTGCCACCTCTGCCTCTGCTGAGCACCTCTCCCTCCCCGTGGGCCTGGGCCTGTCAGGGCCGGGGGAGCCGGACACAGCTGCAGGCCCAGAGCCCCACCCGCCTCAGTGGGGCTCCACCTGTCAACCCCAGCCCCAGGGTAAGGCCTCTAGTCTGGACTTTGTCTCTCTCTTCTCTACCTCTCGTTCCCCATGCTTCTCACTACTTACATACTAACAGAGGGCTTTTAGATCTGTTAACCCTGATACTGAGCTAGACACAGCACAAAGCAAGTCCCATGAAACAAAAAGGAAAGTGTCAGTCCTGGCTGATGACTTCAGATTTTTCATCCTAAGAGACGTTTCTTCACTTTTCTGCAGCTGCCTCTGTAGCGGTCACTCTGTTGTTTAGGTCTAACTGTTACATGTCAGTCTCTGCATGTTTGTCCATGTACTTGCCGCTTAGAAGTGCAACTGGCTCGCTTTTCATTGAGTTTGAAATCTGTGTTGTGTTTCAGTGTGGCATGTCCTTGTGTATGATAGTCATGTGTTCTGTGGACACAATCAGCCGTTACCTTTTCATCTCATGGTCGTCGTTTTCTTCTTTCATCCATGCACTAAAGTTCAGCTTTATTTTTCACCACTGTGCTGATTTGATCAGTTTGCCATTTGATTTTGTTCTTCAATGACTTTGCACTGTGTTCAGAAGTCTGGTGCTCTACATTCAACATGTTCCACAACAGGAGGCTCAGTCTGAAGGAAAGATTAGCACAGGGGTTCAGGAGTTTTCTCTTTCTCACTGACATGTTTCAGGTTAGCAAACGTTGAAAGCAGGGACACTCTCGATCATTTGATTAAACCTAAAATAAAACAGTGCTGAACATCCAGAGAGACATGTCTCAAGGTGAAAAAAAAAAAGTATTTTCCCTAGACGACGGCTAACATAGCATCCAGACATTTAAAAGCTAATACTACTGTTTGTAGTGTTTTCAACCATGCACACAACTCCTGATGTCCACACATTGTCAGAGTTAGTAGCATGAATCGCTGATTTTCTTTTACCTGCCAGCCCCCCCCCCCCCCCGAGTCAAATCTTTGAAAGAAATGTAGATGATATGAAGTGTGAATGCAATATTCAGGATAATTGTCCTACAGCTGGTGGGTGGGGGAGACACTGTTATTTCCTGAGTGGTGGGCAATCAGTGTGATCTTTGTTCATTTAATGAAGCTACTTTAGCTCTGTATTTATCACTCGTTGTTAGTGAAACCACTTACATAAAGCATTGTTATTAAGGCAAAACCTGTAATCACAGAGTCTTTTTGCATCATGTCCCCCCCCCCATAATTTAAATTAGACATTTAGGGCTAAAAATATTTAGTTAAATCAGTTTTTAATAGGAGAAAAAAAAGAGCTTGCCCTTGTGGTCATATGACGCTTACAGTGCAGGTCTTAAAGATGTGTACAATAAAAATACATTATTGTGTTTTTTGCAAGGTTTATTTTCCTCACAATAATAATCAATATTATTAAATATCAAATATGATCATGTCTGAAGTCATATTTGTCGGCTCTGGGCTTTCAAGTTCATGCTGATGATGTTATTGTGTGTGTGTGTGTGTGTGTGTGTGTGTGTGTGTGTGTGTGTGTGTGTGTGTGTGTGTGTGTGTGTGTGTGTGTGTGTGTGTGTGTGTGTGTGTGTGTGTGTGTGTGTGTGTGTGTGTGTGTGTGTGTGTGTGTGTGTGTGTGTGTGTGTGGAACAGCAGTGTGTGTGTCTCCTCGGTGGTGTAGTGCAAGTATACCGGATTATTGTTCAGTCATCATAGGGTATACCATCTTCTAATTCTCCTCTGATTCACACTAATGATTGATTGACGATATTCAGTAGGATACCGCCTTTTTTCCTCGGCTGGTGAAGGGCTGACCCTCCCTCCTCCCTCCTCTGTCTCTAATTGGCTTGTACACACTGACTGAATATGCAGGAGGAGTCGGACATGTAACTGTTTATAACAGAGGCTGTTTACCCTCTGCTGGACGGGACACATGTAAGAGAATTCCCTCTTCTTCAGGCAGCACTGCACCACTGAGTGTCACTTAAAGTGTGTTTGTTTATTTGATGCTCAGTGCTTCGTCCTTGCTTCATTCAATCAAACAGCGACCTTCAGGTCAGACGGTTAGAACAAACTTTCAAAGCACCAAACACTCAGTAGGTAAAGGGATTAACTATACAAATCAAAGCTGTCTTCATGTCTCCCAGCCTCACGTAGTCGTATTAACCTTGTCACTACTTCTAACTATTGCTGCATGTCTAACACAATGTGGCATGCTCTCATACTTTATGTGTCTTCATGTTTGATGTCATTTTAAACCATCACTGCCCTGTAGGTTCATGACACTGGTGTCACCTGACGACGATGTCGGGTTGTCGGCGATTTCAGTGACTGCAACATTACTTTTATTTGAGAGAGAATGAAAGATTAATACTAAAAATCAGAAGTACTGATGGTCTGTACCCAGGCTGAGAGTTTTATCAGTTCTATCATTTTATCTGGCTCTTTAATTCAAAGCTTCGGGTGCTTTCAGTGTTCTGAGTTTAACGTAACAGCCAGAGAAACTATACTTAAAAAATGTGAGTCGACTCTGAAGGATCTATTGACTCAATCCTGCTAAATTTAGGGAGCAGTCTCTGCTGAAGTGAATTTTGCATCCTCATGTTAACTTTTTTGGATGTCTCAGAGGGTGCACTCACACTAGGCAAATTGTCTCTGTACTGTACTGAAGAATGACCCCCCCCCCTCCCCCCTGAATTCCCCCACTGGCCTGCACTCACACTGCTCCAGGACTAACCGGACCTGAGAGTAATACAACACATGCAGGGCTTTACGTAATTATGAAGCATGCTAAGTTTACAAGGCAGACAGGCTAAAAAAAAATTAAAAGGGATGCACATCGGAGAACAAGACAGAGAACAAGACAGCTACTTTACTGACTTTGTGGCTTATTTTGAGTCATTTTATTCAGATACAGCCAGAACACTCCCCCTACGTTGTGTACCCGTACTTGTGCTCGAAAGTGTGAGTGCACCCAGAGTCAACCATGACTCCTCACTGACAGCCAGATGGACAGATGAGAGACGGGATGATCGTGTTGCAGTCAGAGCAGAGTTTCAGATTATTCATGTCCTGTAATGTGATGGTGTTCTAAAAAAAACGACAGTTTGAACTTATTTTTTTCCCCCCTCCCCATCATGTTGTCCCCTTCCCCACCCTCTATCCTCTCCCCTCCAACAGACGTGGTGCAGACCCCAGGGTTAGCAACCCCTCCCCCACCTCCACCCCTGCCACCCGGCTCCACTGTGACCTCGACTGCCGCCACCCTGGCAGTCACCCCCACCACCCCGGCAGGCCATCCTCCCCCGCCCCCACCTCCTCCGCTCCCTCCTACATTGACTCCAGGCGGGACCCCTCCTCCTCCCCCGGGTCCACCTCCTCCTCCTGGAGCCCCACTCCCCTCCCCCAGCGCCACCCCTCCCTGCCGGACTGTTCTCTCCTGCAGAGGACGGCCCCATCTCAGGTTTGGCCGCTGCCCTTGCTGGAGCCAAGCTGCGCAAAGTGCCAAGGGTGAGCGCTTGATTGGGTATTTGATCAGTGGAAGGCTTGACAGCTCATGTCTACACCGACCACAGCGTTACAGAACACAAACACATTATTAAAGGGTTGAGCTGCAGATGCAAACACACAAATTTATGTTTCAAACTTTGTGTCCTTTGTTCTTCATTTAAACACTGACTGCACAGAATCACTGTAGATAAACATTTAATCCTCACACATTATCTTCATACAGTCACACCCACACACACACACACTTCAAGTTCATGGATGACCGCACACACGCAGCGTCCATCTGTCACATCTCATCTCAGACTCGAGGGAGGCTTACTCGTAACACTGACAGCCTCTCACTACACTACATATCTACACGTGTTTAATAGAACAACCATCATGGATACAAAATAAATAAATGTTTTTTCTAAATAACAACAAACACAGAATACATGTTTCAATCCTTGTTAAACTCTTAGAAAAGCTCATTCATCATTTTGATTGTACAGAACATAGATCACTCCTTTATGCATCACATCAATTTTCCTGTAATCCCCTCAGAGTGACGATGCAGGGGCGGCTCTGGCAGCAGCCATGTTGGGGGCTGCGGGGGCCTCGGGGGCAAAATCAGAAGCGAGAGGAAACGGCCCTCTTCCCGGAGGAGGCGGGCTTATGGAGGAGATGAGTGCCCTATTGGCCAGGAGGTAGAGTTGCATCAAATGTTATTGTTGGCTTAACAATATCTCAAACTAGGTCCCCCTTCACTAACCATGCCATGTATCGGTCCTCATTTTTATTATTTTATATCTTTACTTCACTTTGTGGTGACATTTTTATGTCCATATATTTCGGATCCAACTTTTTTTTTGTGGGAATTCAAATACATTTTTACTGCCATTATTTGTATTTGCAAAGTTTCCTAAAAAGAAAAGTTCAGTGTTAAGAACAGCTGTCACTTGTTCTTTTTATCAATGAGTTACAACATCTGCCTGATATATTGGAAACCTTGATATGAAGCTACCAGGGGAAACAATTCATGAAAAAACAGAAAGCATAAGACATTTGACATCAGTGTACCTAAGAGGTCTGCTGACTTGATAACTTTGAATGAATGACTCCATGCATGTAGTAAAGTCAAAACCTTTGGGTCAGAAACAAACCGTTGAAACTGTGTCAGATGATATGAGTGTGACATAATTCATCATGTAAGCATGCCTGGTCTTCATGTGTTACAGAAGAAGAATTGCAGAGAAGGGCTCCTCACCTGAACCCGACCAGAGATCAGTAAGTTTTCATCAGAGCCTCTCAGTCTTCTGGCATGTCAGTGAAATCTGCATGATGTTCAATACATAGTCGTCACAATGGCTTCTCTGTTTGTCCAAACTTTGTGTACCACAGTCACTACATTCCTGTCTGAATCAACTCCTTTATCTGTCTGTGTATTATCTGTGTGATAGGCTGCAGCTTAGTGCGTATATCATGTTACACATCTCAATCTGTAATCATTACTTTTACAAAGGCTCACAAACATATCTGCACTGCACTGAAATCAAGCCTCAGTAAGGATCTCGTAATTGCTTTATTTCATATTTCATCGTTGTTTATTTTGTTTTAGTAAAATCACTTTCCTGTTGCTCCTGTCATTTGCTAAAAACATTACAACTTTCTTGAACCATTCAGTTTTATTCTCTAGTTTTTAAATCAATAAAACTACATTTCTTCAATTCATTAAGCAAACATATTTATTCAAAGCAACAAACATCGGAGAGCATGTACAACACAACAACGTAATATAAGGTCTTTGCACACTTTTCGGATGTGTTTATTGGATCCGTAATCCAAAGAAAAGAAACGTCACACACCAACACCTTGCACACTGAGTCTGATGAGTTTAATTTCTTTATATTGGGGAAATTTGCAGTATGAGACAAAATGTCTAGCTTACTCACAACGCAGAGTGAAAAGCAGTGAAGATGATTTAGTGGTTCTTTCACTCAAACTAACAGGGTCTGTCAGTCCTCATTAAAACATGACCAGAGAGTTATACCTGTTGATAAAGGAGAGTTTCACCTGTGGATAGAGGAGAGTTTCACCTTTAGATAGAGAAGAGTTTCACCTGTCAGTAGAGAAGAGTTTCACCAGTCAATAGAGGAGAGTTTCACCTGTAGCTAGAGAAGAGTTTCACCTGTAGCTAGAGAAGAGTTTCACCTGTAGCTAGAGAAGAGTTTCACCTGTAGATAGAGGAGAGTTTCACCTGTAGATAGAGGAGAGTTTCACCTGTAGCTAGAGAAGAGTTTCACCTGTAGCTAGAGAAGAGTTTCACCTGTAGCTAGAGGAGAGTTTCACCTGTAGCTAGAGGAGAGTTTCACCTGTAGCTAGAGAAGAGTTTCACCTGTAGCTAGAGGAGAGTTTCACCTGTAGCTAGAGAAGAGTTTCACCTGTAGATAGAGGAGAGTTTCACCTGTAGATAGAGGAGAGTTTCACCTGTAGCTAGAGAAGAGTTTCACCTGTAGCTAGAGAAGAGTTTCACCTGTAGCTAGAGGAGAGTTTCACCTGTAGCTAGAGAAGAGTTTCACCTGTAGCTAGAGGAGAGTTTCACCTGTCAATAGAGGAAAGTTTCACCTTTAGATAGAGGAGAGTTTCACCTGTAGCTAGAGAAGAGTTTCACCTGTCAATAGAGGAAAGTTTCACCTTTAGATAGAGGAGAGTTTCACCTGTAGCTAGAGAAGAGTTTCACCTGTAGCTAGAGGAGAGTTTCACCTGTAGCTAGAGAAGAGTTTCACCTGTAGCTAGAGGAGAGTTTCACCTGTAGCTAGAGAAGAGTTTCACCTGTCAATAGAAGAGAGTTTCACCTGTAGCTAGAGAAGAGTTTCACCTGTAGCTAGAGAAGAGTTTCACCTGTCAATAGAAGAGAGTTTCACCTGTAGCTAGAGAAGAGTTTCACCTGTCAATAGAGGAGAGTTTCACCTGTAGCTAGAGAAGAGTTTCACCTGTAGATAGAGGAGAGTTTCACCTGTAGCTAGAGGAGAGTTTCACCTGTAGATAGAGGAGAGTTTCACCTGTAGCTAGATTAGAGTTTCACCTGTAGCTAGAGAAGAGTTTCACCTGTAGCTAGAGAGTTTCACCTGTAGCTAGATTAGAGTTTCACCTGTAGCTAGAGAAGAGTTTCACCTGTAGCTAGAGAAGAGTTTCACCTGTCAGTAGAGGAGAGTTTCACCTGTAGCTAGATTAGAGTTTCACCTGTAGCTAGAGAAGAGTTTCACCTGTCAATAGAGGAGAGTTTCACCTGTAGCTAGAGAAGAGTTTCACCTGTAGATAGAGGAGAGTTTCACCTGTCAATAGAGGAGAGTTTCACCTGTAGCTAAAGAAGAGTTTCACCTGTAGCTAGAGAAGAGTTTCACCTGTAGATAGAGGAGAGTTTCACCTGTCAATAGAGGAGAGTTTCACCTGTAGCTAGAGAGTTTCACCTGTAGCTAGATTAGAGTTTCACCTGTAGCTAGAGAAGAGTTTCACCTGTAGCTAGAGAAGAGTTTCACCTGTCAGTAGAGGAGAGTTTCACCTGTAGCTAGATTAGAGTTTCACCTGTAGCTAGAGAAGAGTTTCACCTGTCAGTAGAGGAGAGTTTCACCTGTAGCTAGATTAGAGTTTCACCTGTAGCTAGAGAAGAGTTTCACCTGTCAATAGAGGAGAGTTTCACCTGTAGCTAGAGAAGAGTTTCACCTGTAGATAGAGGAGAGTTTCACCTGTCAATAGAGGAGAGTTTCACCTGTAGCTAAAGAAGAGTTTCACCTGTAGCTAGAGAAGAGTTTCACCTGTAGATAGAGGAGAGTTTCACCTGTCAATAGAGGAGAGTTTCACCTGTAGCTAGAGAGTTTCACCTGTAGCTAGATTAGAGTTTCACCTGTAGCTAGAGAAGAGTTTCACCTGTAGCTAGAGAAGAGTTTCACCTGTCAGTAGAGGAGAGTTTCACCTGTAGCTAGATTAGAGTTTCACCTGTAGCTAGAGAAGAGTTTCACCTGTCAGTAGAGGAGAGTTTCACCTGTAGCTAGAGGAGAGTTTCACCTGTATTTCAGGATGTCAGTCGTCCAGTTTGATATGCAACTTTCTATACTAGAACCACATATTAAAAAGAACACCACCAATTTACTCAAAGTACCACACACAAAGGGATGCATCAGAAATATTTGCAAAAAATTAAACCTGTTCCAAATAAATAATGACGGCCGAAAGCTTCAGGGCCAGTGTGCAAACATTATCTTTTTGTATGTGCGTTAATTTTGGATGAGATAAAACAGGCTCAATGTGCAAAGATCTTAAGTGCAAATGATGTGCTAGAAGTCGGATCGGACACACAAGTTCTGAAAGGAAGTTCACAGAGTCAGAGCACTTAATAATTTAAGTTAATTCATCTTCATCAACAACGACGTCTGCAGCTGTTGATGAGAGTCGAATGATCACCAAACTCAACACCTTCTTCACAGTGGGTTCATATGAAAGGTCACAAAGCAGGACAAACAGGCTCATAATCCCCACTTTCCTTACAGACTTGATGTCAATAAAAATCATTAATAAACAAGGTGCAATGTTATATTCATGGTGGATTTTTGTAGGTTGTTAGATTTAGAAGTTTCTCTCATAAAGAAGTGATTTAACTTTATGTGGCATTGATAGAAGTTTCCATCATAACAAACACAAAAAGTATGGTTGAACGGACGGTGTACGAGTGACAGCTTTGACCTCTTATATTTCACAGCACTCAGTGAATATGAAGGATTTCCTTTGAGCGTAGGCTTGTGATGTTGAACTAAAAACTATTTACAAAGCTGTGTGGGTTAGAAGCTGTTTGGGAGAAATGTGACTCCCGTGTAGTAACTGCTGCTGCCTTAAGACATCCAGTGGTCTAATCCATCCAGAAAACCTCCCTAAATACCAACACAAGTCAAATCTCTGACCCTCTGATTGTGACCCTTCTTTGACCTTTGGACCTTTTCTGTCCACTCAACAGGAGGAGGGCGAGATAAACACGACTCCGAAAATGTCAGCCTGTAGCACACCAGGTAAGTGTCAGAAGGACCCTAACAGTCCAAGCCTGCAGACCCTCGCAGAAACATCATCATCCTCATCCTCAAAAACAACAAGCCGGAATTAATATGCATCTTCCTAAGACAGGCGGAGAAGACCCAAGTCAGCATTGAGTTTAACTTTTGATTGATGATTTTAGGAGTATTTAGAATGAGTAAGTAGCTGAAATGAATGTCAAACTGTAAGGAGAGGGGAATTCATGTGTCTGCTGTGTTTTTGTTTGTTTCTCCAGACATGCCCAGGAAGCCTTGGGAAAGAACAAACACCATGAACGGTAGCAAATCTCCAGTTATCGGAAGGTATTTAACATGTTCTTACTTTTTCACCTCATCATTATTTAAAGGAGCAATATGTAACTAAAATGGGTACTGCAGTCCAAATTCAAAACATTGTAGAGAGCATCTCCAATGTTGATCCTAGTTTGAGCACGTTTCTGCTCGTGGAGCTTATTAGAAACATGCAGAGGCTTTTTAGGTCGGGTACAATCACTTCTATCTGAACCACTTCTCTTGCCCACTTCTAAAGTTAGAAGGAGGACATACTGGCTGCTGCATTGTTGTCAGAGAAGCCAGCACTTCAACATAGCATGTTTCCTTAATGTCTGATCTTATAGTAAGGTTATTTAAAGATTTAATTCAGTAGTTATCGTATATATTGCTCCTTGAAGTATCATTGCACTTAAATTCATTTCATATCCCACATTTTCTTTCTTTCTTTACTTTGATTGTTCATATTTTATCTAACCATAACGTTTTTGTCTCTTATCTGAATGGCTATCAGCTACTAAGTTTCACTTTCTTAGTAAAAGACGCCAGAGGAATTTATTAAAGCATTTGCATCAGCTAGCTTTAGCTTTAGCATGGTGCACTGCTGGGGCCGTTCTGCGCTGGCTAACATCACTAAAGCTTACGTTGCCTTTACGACCAGTTCAAGCTGAGGTGTCTGTGTGCGAATGGAGAAGAATGGTATAGCATCAAATTAGATGTCAATTGAAGGCTTCAGATTTTGGATCCTGCCAGCCTTTTAGGTTGTGTGAATGAATAACTTTCACTGCAAACGTTGGGTGACATTTTGCGGGTTACATCGAGGTAGTGTAATAACTCCTTTGGAGAGCTATTGTGACAGAAATACAGAGCTAAGTCCTAAAGGTCTCATATCCTCCTCCTCTTCTTCAGTGTAAATAAGTCTCAGAGCTCCTCAAAACATGTGTGTGAAGTTTCTTGTTCTAAATCTACTCTGATCCTGTATTTGATCATGTCTATAAACCCCTCTATTTCAGCCCTGCTCAGAACAGGCTGTTTCTGTGTCTGTACCTTTAAATATGTAAATGAGCTGTGTCTGACCACGCCCCCTCTCTGGAAGGGCTTGGGTGTACTCAGGCTTTCTTGCTCCATGTCCTATTGTTTACAGTGAGAAGGCAGACTCAGAGGGCAGAACAAACACCTAGCTGTGGGAGTGTCACCCACCTGGGGGAGGGGTTACTGCCCTTTGTGATGTCATGAGGGGAAAATCTCCAAACGGCCTGTTTGAGCACACATTTTCTGAAAAGTGGAGCAGGCAGAAGACAGAGAGGATGGACTTTCCTCATCATTGGGGGGTTTGTAGAGAGACTAGAGACACATGGTGAAGTGCATTTTCTATAAAATGTGACCTTTAAATCATGCAATCATTTAGCTGAGTTGATGTTCTGAATAGCCCTGACCTTGAGTGATCTAACCAGTCTGGGTTCACACACACACACACAGATAGTAAGTTGTCATATGTAAAGTTAGTGTCTCTGCTGCTCACACAGACGAGAGTCTCCGTGGAGAACTCCAATTGGAGCAGATTCCTCCAACAGGTAGAGAGAAAAAAAAAGGCCCTGGAGAGTTTGCCAAATGTTTTTACTTCTAAACGATCTCCTTTGAGGTTTGCTGTGATGGACGTGGTTTGGTTGGAGGGTTTTATTTTGAATGCTTGTATGTCTTTCTTTTCTAAATACACCAACCTGCAGGGCTCTGTCCGCCTCTCACTGTGTCTGTTGATGTGTGCCATTTGGTACAATATGCTGTGGCTTTTTCTAAACCAATCATTGTCTGTATGAAGGACTTCTAATGTAATCTAGTAATTGTCAATGCATGCTGCTCTGCCTGCTGCTCTCTTAACTCACTGCACCCTCCCCACCCTATCACACACACAGACACACGCGCTTCAAACCGAGTGTCCGCCCAGCGCACAGCAGACTTGGCACAGTTTTATCATTAGAGAGCCAAAGCAGATCCAGCAGGCACTGGCAGATAAGGCCCTGCTGTGGATGTGAGGGAGTCTGTGTGCTTACAGAAAGAAGGAGCACTGAACCATCCAAGAAATGTTGGAGCACATAATCTCATAACAGTGTTCTACAGTTCTGTAAACTCCTCTATGGTATGAAAGAAATCGTCAAATCAAATGGGGCGCCGGTAGCGTAGTGGTTAGTGTGTGCGTCCCATGTACAAAAGCTAAAGTCCTCGAAGCGGGAACCGGTTTCAAATCCGACCTGTGGCTGCTTTTCTTCTCTCTCTCTCTCTCTCTCTCTCTCTCTCTCTCTCTCTCTCTCTCAGTTTCTGCCTCTATCGACTGTCCTGTCTCTAAAACAAAAAGCCCAACAATAAACCATTAAAAGTGAAAGATTAGAATCAGGAGTAGAGAAGAGCCTGAATGGACCTTCTGTTTGTCATATCTCTTCACTCTGCGGTGAAAGAGCAGTGACAACACTCTGTTAATTACAAATGTCCCGTCCACAGTGAAAGCCACAGCTGATACTGAGCTCATTTCCCTTTCTCTCACTTCCTTTTCCTGTCCTGCTTCCTCCCTTGAATGTTATTGGCGGCGCTATAAATTTCCACACCAATGATTCTCACGCAGAGCTCTGAGCTCTGGAGAAACCTAAATATACAACTTCTTTTTAATGCTGACACCCTCTTGGTCTATCACTTTACACTTTTATCACTCTATCAGAATTCTCATTGAGGAAGATAAAAAAAAAAACAGATGATAATCACACAGTACGATATGCACAACCATCAGATCTCCTGAGGAGGTCTGACCTCCCTCATGGGAATATTTTCCTAAATAGGTTTGATAGATTGTGAGTGTGTGTGTTTGCTTTTGTGTGTGTTGACATGCATGTCTAGCTGTGTCCAGGATTTGCATGCAATGACACAGATTTGTTTTCAAGCTGCAGTTTTTAATTAGCTCCAAATTCTATCAAAGTCTTCTCCTGAACATGAACATATTCGACCCTGTAAGGTCGGGGTGTTTCTGCTGTAAATGTTCAATGAGGAAATCATGGGGGATTACTTTAGGAGGTAATCGGCCATGATCAGACAACAGCAACAGAACATAAACAGCTGAGTTTTCATGTTAACAGTGTTGGTTAAATGTCTGTTAGCAGGTACAGCCTACAGAAAGAAACGTCTAGAAAGAAGACCTGACCTTCACTTGTCTGACATGAACATCTCAGTCTTAGAAATCATACATGTCTCGCCTCCTTAACCCTGGACCCGTTCTCTTCCTTTGTACTCAGTGAAACTCTCTCTTTCAGACCCAAATCCACTCCGACACCCACTGCATCCTTAAGTGCCAACGGTGTGCCAACAGAATCTGTTGACTATGATCGATTGAAACAGGTAAGGGGACACGTAAATTGTAGTTTTATTTATTGCTCATGGAAGTGAAGTGCCTTACTTTCTCATCGAAGCTGGTCACAGGTTTCAATCCCAGTACTGGTGTCGTTCCCACTCTCTCGCCCCCATTTGCTCTCTCTCTCTCTCTCTCTCTCTCTCTCTCTCTCTCTCTCTCTCTCTCTCTCTCTCTCAAGCTGCCCTGTCTAATACAGACCAAAGTAATAAAGTACTGTTATTTACTTGTTTATGATACCAGCCTTTGCTCCAGAGATAAGCTGCATATTAAAACAGTTTATAACTGTTAGAGTTCATGTCAGAGTGTGCAGGGAGCCGTCCTGCTATAAGGCCGCTCCTCCCTCTGACCTCCCTGAATGAGCCTGTTAGATAAGTACAGTGCACTATCTGTCGCCATGACTACAGCACACAGCGCTGTCACAGTGAGACAGAAACAACACTCTTCTTCATACTCATCAATGATCTGTCACTCGTGGACTTTGGTCTGCAGGAGTTCAATATAAGTGTTCTCACTCTTGCTGTGTGTTTGTCTACAAGTCAGACTTCAGGCTCTAATCTCAGAGGGATTCCCCGCACAGGGATTAGCTACTTAGTAAAGAAGACAAGGGACCTCCCTTTGCCAGTTGGCAGGTCCAGCACACGGCTAAGTCCAAAAGCCAAAGGTAACTCAGTCAGAGGAGAGCAGCAGGTGGAAACACGAGCTGCCAGGTGGCACGGTTTCTCTCTCCTCTAAAGGTCTGATGTTTGGAAAGATGACTTTGACTTGTTGTGTTTTTCAGGATATTCTGGATGAGATGAGAAAGGAGCTGTCGAAGCTAAAAGAAGAGCTCATCGATGGTAAATATTTACTTATATGTTCATGTGACGCTGAAACGTAGCACAAGTTATGTTCAGTAAGACAACCTGAAGGGTCCAATGTTAGGAACATTAGCCGTGACATTAGGGTTTATTTAAAGTGTTTCTGATCCTCTGGCTGTTGAGGTTTTCTGCCCCATGTTGACCCTACTGGTTGACCCCTTTTATTAGTGTTAAATTGGCTCCAGAGGGGGCGCTGGTGGCTCAGTGGTTAGTGCGCGGTTAGTGCTCGTATGTATCCCACCTGTGGCTCCTTTCTCACATGTCATTCCCCACACTCTCTCTCCCTGATTTCTGACTCTACACACTTTCCTATCTCTCCATTAAAGGCACAAAAAGCCAAAAAATAAATCTTGGCTCCAGAGCTCGTCAGACATAGGATCAGAGACCAAAGTCCTCAAGAGCGGGCAGCCTGGGGTCCATCTGACCTCTGGATCCTACCCCACAGTCATTATCTGCACTCTCTCTCTCTCCGGTGTCTGACTCTATCCACTGTCCTTTCTCTGAAAATAAGAGAAATAATTTTTCACCTGTCCCTGTTAAAGAAGTATTTATGATGAACTACTCTACCCGTCACCATGTTTGATTAAAAGCAGCAACTCACGAGCTGTGTTCAGGATTAGTTTCGCAAACGTTGTATATTCTTTGAAATGACCTTCAGTAAATACAAAGTCTCAAAGGTGTGTTTCTATACAAAAGACTGCACATCCCTTTAAATATGTCATGACCCTCTTCAGCTGAGAAGTCCTAAATAACTTCCTATTTGTGTCCTCAGCAATCAGGGAGGAGCTGGGCAAGTCCAGCACAGCGTAGAGGATCCAGAACCTCCTCCTCAGAACATCTACATCCACGTGAGCCGCAAGAAAAAACCCCCACGGTCCAATCTAGACAATACAGCAGAGAGAAACAATCCAATCAAGGAAGGAGTTGAGACGGCCATGATGACAATGATCAGATTCATACTGGGAGAGGACTTCATTTTGGGGCAGAGCAGAATCGGACGCAACAACATTGGGTGGGTGAGGGGGGGAGGGGCGGGGTGGGAGGCGTGTTGCTCTGTGACTCAGAATCCACTCTACAAAAATCCTGTTCCTGCTGCCTCCCCCCCGCAGACCCCTCCTCTCGCCGAGGGCATCGCATCCTGGACGACAGCGCACGGTCTGAGAGAGAAGCGAGTGTCTTTTATGCAAAGATGATTTTTCTCTTTTTGTCCTAAAAAAATAACGAGAAGAAAAAAACAAAACACAGTCGACAATATTGAACTCTTCAGTGATACTAACCACCTGAACAGTAGCATCGATGCTAAGACCCGTGTGACTTACTATCCAACACCTTTTGTTAAGAGAGAACGCAGACAGGAAGACAGTAGGGGATGGAAATACAAACTTTTTTTCCCATAATGCCATAGGGGTAGCGCGCGTGTGTGTGTGTGTGCGCGTGTGTTAGAGAGTGTGAATGTGGGACTGTCAGTCTCTGGTGAGGTCCACCACTGCAGGACACTGTAAAGCTCGTCTTCCTCAAATACTATTTTAACCTGAAAATGTACAAAAGAGAGAAAAAGTTATTTAGAAAAAAATCTATCAACAACGTCTGGCCGGATCGTTTTTACACCGGCTGCTCTCTCGTCCGTCTGTGGAATCATCACCAGAGGAGTGGTTTGACCGTCTTCTCTGTTGAGTGACAGGTGGACGAGACGAGCGGGGGCGGCTGCGTGTCAGAAAGCAGCCAGTGTAGCTCTCTACCAAACGTTTATCTACTCACTAAAAGTGCTGATCAGCTAACATCCGTCATGCTCGTCTACCGCCGCCAGAAATGTAGATAGAAGTGACTTTTCCTTCCAGTACACTTTGATTTGACTCTCTCTCTCTCTCTCTCTCTCTCTCTCCCTTTCGATGTCATGTGCGTCATATTTAGGTACTACATTTGAAGCATGTACGCTCGTTTTTCTTTACATGTCGAGGGTCACAAGTCTGCCAAGAAGTCGCATTATAACCGTCACACGTTTTTTTCTTGTAAGCAATAAGTGTAGCATCTAAGTCCTCACTCACACCCAGCATCTCTCTCTCTCTCTCTCTACCCACCCTGCTCAGCCCCCGTCTCTTTGTCCAACTCTGTGCGGGTGTGATGTCAAACTGGAGATGAAGGTGAAAGAGTACCAGAGAGAATCTGTTAACACATGAGAAGTTAACTTTTGATATTTTCTTTTCAAACTCACAACCGTATTTTTATCCTTTATTTTTCTTTCTGCATTTATGTGAAACGTTCACAGGACATCTGCAACATAGCAGACTGGTGTCCATATAAGGACACGATTGTGCCATTTACTCTCTCTGCAGTGCTTAGTGAGGATGGTTCCAACTTTAACTCTTTGGCCTTTTTTTCTTTCGTCTGCCGCTGTCCAACTTTGAGAGTGAAAAGGTGTATTTAAGCCGACAGACGTCTTAGATAAAGGAACACGTAGTTTAATTGAGGTGCTGTTTCTGTGTCACTTCAAGCTCAAAGTACAATCAACCTGACTGGGGGGGGATGTTGTTTAAATAATGACACTGTTGCTCCAGGCAACGGGTAAAAAGTCTGTTTTACAATTCTGTACTCATGTCGTCTCCATAATGTCCTGAGGAGACACAAATACAATCAAACGTCACAACTGTCCAACAGCCATACACCATACCATCTGTTTGAAAACCACCTGCTGATCAAACCATGCAGAGGAGTGTGAGGCGTGAATCTTAAGTGGTGCATTACAGTTTGAATTCAGTGAACAAAAGGAGTTCAGCTTAATGTCTCCATTAAAGGAGCAGTCCAGTTTTTAAATAGGCCTTCTAACACATCCATAAAGATTCACTTCAGGCACATTTTGTAAGTCAAAATAATCCCAAGGCGAACATTTCCTGACTTCAGATCTGATTTCTCAATCATCCAACTCAATGGAATCTTTATTTGATTGATAAATGTTCACCTCATCAAATCTCGGTGTTGGTTTTTTTAAAGCCGAGATTACCCGTGATGTCATTACATGTCAGACTAAACAAAACTTCTCCAGAACCAAAGACGATTTACAACCCAGCCTGAACGATGAGCCCTGAGTGGAAGTTAAAGGTGGAGTCAGTTTGTAAAACACAACATTCAAACTCGGCCCCTCCTCCTGGGCTCATCGCTCCCATAAGCTCACCCTCACTGCAGGACGTTTACTGCTTGTGGCTACGCTGCAAGCTAACGCATGCTAGCACAAGTTAACCGTCGGTGTTTGTCACCAAAAGCAGACCAACACAAGTTTCCCCCTCATGTTTGACCCACTATGATTATATTTTCTCTTCTTTGCTGCTAAGTCCACGTCCGTCGTATGAGCCAGGTTTGATTTGCGTCCAATCCCTGACTCATATCCACTCTACTCACCTGCTGCACTGTCATTGGCTGAGAGGAAACTCACCAACCAAAACAAACCAGAAGAGTAAAATCAGTCTCCACTACACATCTATGGAGGAACATAAGAGATGATTAACTTTACTATAAGTCTTTATCTTATTCTGTAGGAACAATCGTCTGACTCTTTAAACTCTAATGAGGACAACCAGACGGGGAGTGACTGAGGGTTTTTAAGTGGATGGTGGTCGATGGCTGTTGGACGTTGTACGACTCCACTGTGTTTAAGGGCTTGGACATCATAGCTTTGCTACAAATGATGACTATTAACTGATGTGAGAAAATACTCACCAATAGTTTCTCCTCTTCTTTGGAATCGATCCAATGAAATGGACGTGTTGGTCGTAGACATCCAGACGCTGTTAACCTTCGGCTTGAGTCTGAAGCTTTTTGATATCTTTTCTGGTTTTGTGTTAACATCACGGTTTCATCTCCTAATCCATCCTTTTTCTAAAGCCAAACGCCCAGACAGGAAGCTTGTGCACTGCGCATCATCGATTGCACTTTAAGACAAAAAAACCCCTCCCCTCACAGAGTAATCCAACACGCTCTGACTGCAGCCGTTAAAGAGCCTCTTTTAAAAAAAACAAACGTGCGGCTATCTCACCAAAGGATTCATCCTCGCTCCCTCCTGCTCGACACGCCCCCTCTCAACAAAGTCGCCTTTTCTTCTGTTTGTTTCATTTAGTGGAGAGATCTGGGACGTGAGGGCGAGACAATGGTTGTGGTGGAGAGACGTTGATCTTTCTGTGAAGCTATGTGGTTTGTGCCTTGTTCCAAAGTTGCATTTAAAGTGTTGAAGATCTAAAGAGAACTCTAGTAATAATAATATCTGAGGACTGTGGTTCTGATCTCATGCAGTAGTTTGGTTTCTGTTCCACTCTTTCCTCTTTTTGGAGATCATGATGATTTAAAGGGAGCGTGGAATGACCTTGGTACTGTTCCTCACCAAGAAAACATCTTAGCGCCTGTTTCTTTTCTTCTTTTTTTTTTTTTTACATATATGTTATTTTTGTTTCCATTCTGATGTGAGGTTTCTTATCTAACAGTTCTGAAATACAATCTAGTCTTTAAAGAGAGAACAGGTCTGTACGGCTTCAGAGACGGTCCTGAAGTGTGCAAGTCCAGACTCGTCTGGCTGCAGTGTTCAGTGTTTCCTCATGTTTAACGTCTCAGAGAGCATCTTGAGTTTTCTTTACATGCTTGAGGATCTGTCTTCTTCTCCATGTGATCAGAAGACAGCTGGTTGAAACATTTATATTCGTCTGTAAACCCGTTTTTCTTTTTCTGCTGAGGGAACTGATGGGATTGTGAAGGAGAGGTGACGATGGCTGATGAAGGTTGGATGGGTCGGGGTTCCAGACATATTCTTTAATCATCTGCATTGTACCATACTGTTCTCATGTTCATTAGTCTTTTCTTACATGCTAACATATTGTTTTGTTTGAGCAGATTAAATAAAAATTGCAATACAAGAGCAGAGCGGGTCTTCTTCTTTCTGCAGTGACTGATCTTAAACCCTGAAGGCCAACACGTTCACACACCTGCCTGACCTGGAGTCATTATACCCAGCGTAAGCCAATAGCTGAAGGAATAAAAGATTTTCGATAGAGATAGTTGGAACTTAGAGAGTAAAGGACTGAAAGACTTATTGTTGTCTTATTGTAGCCCAGTGCAGAGCTTCAGTGTGACTAGAAGTCGTACGCTCCCTTTAATCTTTTATTATTTAGATAAACTGAGTCGACTGTTCAGTGTTTAATAAATCTTACTAAACATTCAGACTGCACGACAATAAGATTTATCTTCTTCACTTATTTCCTTTTCTTTCCCTTTCATTAAAGAGCCCATATGCCCTTTTTGGGGTTCGTATATTTAATCTATGTATCTACTTTTGTACGTTCACAATAGCTAAAGTCCTAAAAAAGTGTCTGTTTTCATGTACTGCTCCTCCTTGCTCCCTCTACGCTCTGAGTCCGTCAGCTACACTCTGCTGAGCCCACACTGTTAGACCCCACATGGGCCAAGTCTGCTCTGATTGGTCTGCCGATCCGCTCTGTCGTTATTGGTCAGTTGCTCAGCACGCGTCTCGGAAATTTCAACATGAGCTGCTGGGCTTGCCACAATGAGCCAATGGGCTTAGATCAGTGATCTCACACTGACAATGACGTCGGACTGACACATTTTTATCGAGGGGGGCTAGAACCGAGCGTTACATGCAGCTGATGCTACAGCTAACAGGAGGACGTAGGAGAAGCTGCGTTTCCGCGGACTTTGAATTTTTGCACATAGATGTGCCTAAAAATGCACAGGACACATGGAAAACACACTAAAGGGCAGATAAAACCAGAAAAAGAAGAATATGGGACCTTTAAACTGTAAACATGACACCGTTATTGTAAACAAACGTGATTTATTTTGTCCGAATTCAGACTTAAAGGCTTTATGTGATTTTTTCATCCAGCAGATGTCGCCCTTGAGCACCAGCATGAAACCAAAACAACTCGCGCTGCATTGTTGTGTTAGCATGCTAATGCTAGTGATCTTTATTATGTTCATATCTTCACACTGCATGTAAATTTACCTGAAATGAGCGTGATCTAGAAACACAGTTAAGCAGTGAGTACAGTATGTTATTCTTCTTTTCTCTAGTCCCTCAATTAAACAACTTTTATACGTGAGGGGTTTTCACTGGCCGTTTGTGTATTGCCTCAGCAGTCAGAGGTAGAGTTGGCTGTCTTTCAGTCTGAAGGTTAGCCATTTAAAAAAAATAAAGTTTGTGTTTTCAGTTCAGAAAATATAGCAAAGAATTGTTTCACTTCTCCAACTTATAAATTTCACCACCAGATCTACATAGTGCACCTTCAAAGCTCCTGTGAGAAACGTTCAGTTGGGTTGATTTTGGCGCCCCCTGTGGACGTCTTCTCTCTTTGCTCTACAGTAGAAAATGTAATCAAATAGTTTCTGCAGTGTGATGTTAACCTCCTCATCTGACACAGACCTGGTGACACACGTAGAACACACAGAAAACATCTGAATGGTCTGGTTAGCTTTTTTTTTTAGCTCACATAGAGGCATCAGTACTAAATTCAGTCGCTATAATAACCAGACAAAATCTCCTCATTGGAACATTCAGTAAGACTTCTGCCCGCTTTGTTTCCTCACGTGGTTACACCAGGTGATCCTCTGTTTCAAGTCCATGGACTGTGTCTGACTGTTTCAATGAACATCACGCCTGCAGAGGAGAACAGGAAGTGGAGAGACCCCCATGAAACTGAGAGCCTGCATGATGTACATGCCTTACTGCAGCACTTCCTTCTTGTGCTGCTGTCTGTTATTCCGCTCAGCACAAACTGACGTTGCTATGGAGAGACGAGGCAAACAAACAACGAGGCAACGAGCTTGAGATCAAGAACAAAGTTTCAGCCATGTGTCAATAAAGGGTTTGTAAAACAGAATATCTCTCCCCTCCCAAGTCAGATTCATCTGTTCATAGAGGAGTGAAGTACTTATCAATCACTCAAAACAGTTTTTAGGCAAATACTTTTTTTCGGAATAGCTTCTGTCACAAGCTCAGCTGACTATGAAATGCAACTACTCTTGTGATTTGTTAAATATCATGGGTTACTCATAGAAGACAGTGATATAGGATCATAGACTGTAAATACTAATGGATGAAGCCTGAATAATGTCACCCATCTTATACTGCAGGGGGCGCTGCAGTCCCATCGATGGTGGTCTCCATGCTGGAAATCCTGTCTCAGTCTAAATTTCAGTCAACCTAACGACAGACTGAGAGCTGGAGCTGAGGCAAACCATTACACCCTGACGCCTGACAATCAGGTCAGCTACACGCCTAACTATTGATAAGAAGTATTGTTCATAAAATCACAACAGATGAGTTATCAAAAAATGCACAGTGTGTGCTGATCTATTTGGTTTTTAAACCAGGCTGTAAACATGTTAATTTCTGTTGTAAAAACAGACTTTTTTGAATGGGTGTGTATGTGACTTCCTGTGCTTCCTGCAGCCAGCCTCTAGTGGACACTCGAGGAACTGCAGGATTTTGCACTTCAGCATCGACTTCATTTTTCAACACCGGAGGTTGAGTGTGCAGGACATGAGAGAAATGGGGAAAAGCTGTTTAATAAAGATGAGGGAAGTATTGAATTCACCAAAAAGGTGAAAAACAAACTTTATGATAAATAATCAGGATGAAAGCACTATCCTTAATTAAACAAACACATATTGGGGCGCCAGTGGCTCAGGGGTTAGAGCCTCCACGTATGGAGGCCATAGTCCTCCAAGTGGGCGGCCCGGGTTCCAATCCGACCTGTGGCTCCTTTCCCGCATGTCATTCCCTACTCTCTCTCTCCCTGATTTCTGACCCTATCCACTGTCCTATCTCTCCATTGAAGGCACAAAATGCCCAAAAATAAATCTTTTGAAAAAACAAACTAACACATATTGAGTCGTGTATTTCCCTCTAAGGTGATGAATATGATCATAATCTCAAAGTCTCCAGGTATAACTTGCACAAACTGCCATGCTACATGAATAACTTTAATGCTTTCAGGATGGCAGGAGACTTCACACAAGCGTTCCCCTGCAGCTTCTCGTCACAATGCAAACAGTGAAACTTCCTGTGGGCGGGGCAGCGAGCGCATTGGAGCGGCCGTGCATCTGCAGTTCATTTGAGGTTGTGTTTGACTTGCAGCCAGTAAAAGGCTGTGCTGTGGTGAAAGCTGCACTAAGAAAGGAAAACACTCTGAGCTGCAGAGAGAGAGAGAGATGAGGAAGCGTTGATGCTGTATTTGGATTGGAGGGTTTGAATTTTCAAAAAGAGTTTTCTTCTTCTTGTCGAGCTCAGAGTCTTTAGGTATGAGCAGCAGGTGCGCGTAATGTGGCACAAACATGTCGACCACCAGCTTCTGTTTATGTTAATAAGACACAACAATGATCTGCCTCTCCTCTGCTCACTCTGAGCTGATGGCTCATTTACAAAAAGACATGGTGGGAACATCAAGGTTATAGTGATTAAAAGAGAAGGGATCGTTCACCTTTGTTCACACACTTCCTGTGAGAGGGAATCAAAGGTCAACACAGTGATGTTAGTAAAGAGCCACGAGGTATGAATGCAACAAGTGGAATCATTATCAATGTCTGTTTTCATGTTTAGTGCTCTTATAAGATGTTTTCTTCTATTTCTGACTTTAATAACTCGACTATATCTATATATTTATTCTATATTTTTCACTTTTGGGTGCATTTTTCTCATACTAGAAATATAAAGATATGATACACAACAAAATATTTCTGTATTAAAATACACCAGGTGTCTTAACTAAATCTCCAGTTGGACGTGTCATGATGGACTCTGCTTCACATCTAAACCTTCAGGTACACGTCCACAACAAATTGACAATACAGGGGGCGCAGGGGGCCTGGTGGTTAGTGTGTTCAGTGTCTGATGTCCTCGAGGCGATCCAGCCTGTGGATCCTTTACATGTTATTCTCTCTCTCTCTTTCTCTTTCTCTCTCTCTCTCTCTCTCTCTCTCTCCATGATTTCTGACTCTACCCATGGTCCTATCTCTGAGTAAAGGCTTAAAAAGCCCAAACAATAAACCTCAGGAAATACTGACTCCACTAGGTGACTGAACTGTAATAAATGTGCCTATGTAGCTTGTTCTATAACAGAGTCAAGTCTTTGGGGAGTACTTCAGTACCAAAACCATTTTTACAACACATTTAAAAGCTCTAATGTAAGAATGGATGGAAGAGATTGAACAGACTTGCTCCTCAGCTTCTCTGCAGACACATACAGAGACGACAGTTCTGTAGCAGAGCAGCTTCAAGTGGTAACTATAAAGTTTACATTTACATTTTTTTTTACAGCTTTTTCTGTGAAAGGAGTCAAATCCTGGAACTCGCTACCTGACCACTCGAAGCTCACTGCAAACTTTACCACTTTAAGAGAGATACCAAATCCTGGTTAGTTCAGCAACAGACTTGTACTCATGTTTAAATGTTTGTAGCTCTATCACAGCTTTAATTTAAAAGTTTTAACATTTTAATTACACAGAAGCCCTCCTATAGGACGAGTATTGCAAATCAGCAGCCGCTAAAAACGATATTGCATCGGATTGCTTTTTTTCAGTTTGTCTATGAATATATATTTTAAATGTCCTTTTACAAAAGAATTTAAAATATCAGTTGATTTTTATTCTGGATATTTTGATTATTGTTGCATGAAACATACAGTATTAGGCTTTATGGTGGTTTTATGTGTATCAGTATCGGAAATACTTTAATAATCCTGGGGGGACAATGTGGTCGTTACAGTTGCTCTCAAACACAAGAAATAAAGATTATTGAATAAAAAATAAATATAAATGGAATGCGAAGAAATTAGTAGGAAAGCACAGATTATCCCTAGAAAAAAAGAAGCTATGTACAAGCAGAGGGAATTTAATTTATGATTTAATTTATGTGCAGTGTTGAACTGTGTAGATATTGCAGGGAGTATTGAATAAAAGGCAATGGTTTATTACCTTTTTATTTATATCATTTGGGGAACTCTTGTTGTATAAGTGTCCACTATTTCGTCTTTAATCTTTAATAATAGTCTTCCTCACATTTTCTTTTCTTTTATTTTCATGTGTTTTGTAACATTTTCTCAAAAAGTGCTATATAAATAAAGTTTGTTATTTTTATTAATTAATTAATTAGGCTATATAGGCTTATTCATATTATAATAACGAGAATATAGGTATGTTTGATTGTTTATAAATTAAAAACATTGAGCTGGTTTTAGTCTATTTGATTATTATATGTATTATTATATGTAAGTGTATTCTATAAGTATTTTTGTTTGCGATATTTCTGTAATTATGAGGCAGAAGTTGTTTTTAGAGATTTATTTGATCTGTTTTGACCATAGACTATTTCCAACATTTGTCAGACGGTAATTTGACACCAGTAAATAAAGTAGACGTCACTCGCTCAAAGCCAATCACAACTGATTTAAAACCCAGTGGTAGCCAATGAGATCGCGGATCTGTTTGAAATGAACGTCGAGCGAGCCAATCAGCAGCCTTCGCGCCTTTCTTGTCACTGGTGGTTTCGCCCAGAGAGGGAGGGAACGAGCAGTAGCTGTGTCCGTTTTTAAAATATACCGCTTAATAAATTAATTCCTCGTCTTTTTAAGGAATATTGTGTTCATCTCTTTTAATTACTGGGATTATTCGCGTAGAATCAAGGTAAGTCGGCACATCACACTCATATTTATGACGCAGAATAGCAAGTCGCCTTACGTTTCTCTTTGTTGAGAAACTAACTCTGCAGGCTGCAGTCAGGGCGCCGACTAGTTCCTGGACTCTCAACTTATTTCAGTGCGAGTTAAATTGTGTATTTGTTGTGATTGTACTTCCCCTTCGTAAGAATAATTTAATTAAAAAACGGGTTTGTAATTTTAACTAAAAGATTTGGTGCTGGTTATAACGCTGCTTTGAGCGACCTGCATTTTTACGGTCAACCAGATTAACGGAGCGCTAGAATAAGATGGACAGAAAGTAGACGCCGCCCGTTCAGTGAATGGCAACCGTTGTCAGGGTGTTGCGCTAAGAGTTGCTCTCACTGCTTTTCGCACCCTTTATTTAAGATGTTATGTTGGGATAAAATGACTGAATCAAGTTGTATAAACATAATTTCTACGTGTTGGCGTGTTGATTCGGTTACGGATGCGCCTGATTTCTTCTGGTATTTGAATGCATGACGTTTTCCCTCCTCGGTTGTTTGTAAACGCGGGTGTCTTGAAGCTAACAAAGCTAACGCTAGGTGTTGTGAAAGAAACTGCTCCCCTTACATGACAAATAGGTCGTGGCCTGAATAGTTTAATTTGCTTTAAAACTGTGAGACAAAATAATATACGCAGGTAATAGTTGCATATCTTCACGTTTTGGACCTGGGAGATAAAAATTATGATAATAGCGGATGTTGCGATTTACAGGACATACAATTGACATTTGACGAAGCATCACTGCAGGGATTAAAGATTGTGTTGAAACCATGCTGACCTGTCCTCACACACAGTAACAGTAAAATCAGCATTGAAGAGAAACACAACAAGTTACTGCTTGTTTTGAGTCTAAAACACATGATTCCTCTCAAAGGGGCTGCATACCAGGTGGAGCTAAACAAAGTTTTTCCAACCCAAATGTGGGGTGGGGGTGTCTGCCCAATTTGTATTTAAAACTCCACCCACCCACGTTACAGTCCATAGCCTTTCATCAGCAGACCTGAGGACTGATGGGAAACTCTCAGCAGGTTCACATCCCACATGAACCTCAGCAGGCGAACCCGGAGAGCAACGCAGTCGCTTACTTTGGGTCTGTGACATTCATATGGGTTTCTCTCATTTCACTCTTTTACAGGATTACACACTTTACTAGTGGATTAGGAATATACTGCATATGTTTTGACTCTCACTTTTGCAGTAATCTTTGTGAGTCAACTTGTAAAGGGGTCGTTGGAGCCTTTCTGTATCAGTGGAGCTATTATGTGTTTATTAAAGCTCATGAGACTTTGATGAAGCACCGATCTACTTGAAGTGTCTTGTAAGTAGAGAGGTATCATTTAAAGTGCCGTAATATCTTTCTGGATCGGCGACGTGGATCTGCGCTGTCAGTCCGATATCCGATACTTAAATTACCTCAATATCGAACCTGATACAGATATTATTATACTTAAAAGCTCATGATAACTTCTTATCATTGATTGGCATCCTGTGGTCCTGTTCATGCTCCTCATGCTATAATTGTCATCATAGCAGATTTTCAACGCTCCTTGCCGTTTATTAAAGGGTGACAACCGCTGGAATTTAAATTGGCACTTGTGCTGACAGGAGGCTGTAATTAGACTCCATGGCTGAAGCTATCACCTACACACAGTGTGAATTAAAGACCAGTAACAGTATAGTAAGTTATTTAGCTGAATACTGTATTGATTTTCACAAAGCCTCGTCTGTATCACTTTTCTGTTCATTAGTTTACAGTAAAAGGATTGAATCATATTGATGTAGGCACGTGTTGATTTGCTTTACAGATATCCGGAGAGATAGATCCATGATGTTGATGTTTACTGCTCTGATTGCATAAAAAGATGAAAGTTTCCCAGTTGGTTTCATACAGGTGGTTGTTGTCATGTACTCTGACAGACATCCTAAACTCTGTATATATAAAAATGTATCTTATTTTTCTTTGCTAACAGTTTTTCAGCATATTTCTTTGTATTAAACTGTCAGAAAGGACTTGATTCATTGCTGCAGTTACTCAGGTGTTGTGTTGTGTTTTTGTAACATGTAAGAAAATGATGAGTCCACTGAACTTGATAAAAGTGACTCGCAGTTCTTACAGTTTCATGAGCTCAGTTTGATGCTTTGTTGTCCTCAAACCTCCTGGTAGAGTTGGAGCCTATCAGCCACCCTCGTGTTTTCTATGAGTTTAAAGGCTGCCGGTGTAAAAGTCCTTGCCTGGTGGGCTGTGACTTCAGCGGATCCCCTCGTTTAGATAGACGGCTTTGGGAAAACCTAGCAGCGACAGACCTGTCAGCAGTTCTGCAGCAGTGTGCTGGTTTCTAGACACTGAGCCTCCCTGGTCTCTAATGTGACATAATGCTGACCTTGCCTGGCTTACCTCTTTGTGTGGGCTTGTGCACTCTACAGTAGGTTTTTTTTTTCTGCCATTAGAAAGTGTGCGCTGAAGTCTAGCCTCTCCGAATGTTTGGCGATTGAACCCAAAATGAATTAAATCTCATCAGAGTCCAAAGTTCACTTCCTGGTCTGTCTGACAGGCCAAAAATAAAACAGACAGAAATATCTTTTAACAGTGTGTTAATATGTAAAGTTGTGATTTAGAGGTTATTGTACTCATGTGTTTCTAAGTTTGATATTTCTACTCTACTAATATAAGTAGAGTAACAGAATAACAGCTTTGATTCATTCAGATAAATATTACAGAGCGTTATAAAGTCTAACAATGATTTATTACTTTTATGAAAGGAAGCCGTCAGCAGTTAATGAAGTACTTAAAATCTGCTTCAACAACCGATGTACACTTTAATGTATATTTATAACCTGCAGAATGTCAGGCACACCGCTGCGACCAGTGAAAATAAAAACATGTTCTTAACAGATTATTGATGAACTAGACCTGTCAACCAAAAAAAACAATCAGCGAGGGTCAATCAAAGAATTGGGATGAAACTATCGAATGTCAAAAAAAACAAAAAACGTGCAGATTGTAGAGTAAGCTTTTTCTGTTTGCCAGATTACATTATTGTCCGCAATTATTGTTAAAGGTGAGCCTTTAAAATGATGGTGGTCAATGCTTTCAGTGATTTAAATTTTAATTTGCTATACAAATAAAGTATTAGTAGTAAGTAATGAAGTATTATTGTTATTATTAATTCAGCATTAAATTAAAAATGGCCGACTCAATATTGTCATGTCTACAAAAACAATTCACTTTAATTATTGCAACTTTTAAATGACCTCACTTTATCCTCCATTAAATAACACTGAATGTATCACAACATTACTGAACTCAAGAGTCTTTACGCAGGGTGAAGTCCAGCAGGGTGACAGACATTTGAAGTCTCATTTCTTTAATGAAAGGTCGGCCTTGCTTCTCCACTCATGTACAAAGTGACATTCACACGTGAACATAGTTCAGATTAGATGTCATACCGGTCAGACCTTCTCCGTCTCATCTAGTGTAGTGTAGAGGCTTGAGGTTTTTAATGGCTTCACTTCCTGTTTTAACTTGGGCGGCTGTGGCTCAGTGGTAAATGCGGTCGTCTCTCAACCAGAAGTTAATTGGTTTGATTGACCCCCAGCTCCTGCAATCACAAATCCGATGTGTCCTTGGGGAAGACACTTTTGTTGGTGGTGTATGAATGGATGAGTTACTTCTGATGGACTCTTTACTCAGCAGCCTCTACCATCAGTGTGTGAATGTGTAGGTGTGACCTGCAGAGTAAAAGAGCTTTGAGTAGTCACAAGACTAGAAAAGAAATAAACAAGCTCAAGTTCAAGTATTATTTAACATGTTGTTATAAATAGGGCCAGCTGATCAGGGATTTTTGAGACCATTATTGATATTAGGGAGAGAAAAAAATCAGATATCGATAAATCTGCAGATATCTTAATTTGATCTAAGTTTGCTCTTTAGAGATAGATAGATTTTGATATACACGTGTACTGCTTTGATTCCTCAAATGCAGTTATCAAACACTTGAGGAAAAGATAAATAATGAAGACAAGATGGTCACTCAACTGTTCGTACATCAAGCCATGATACTTGTTGTAATTCATATAGCGCCCTCTGCTGGTGTAATACAATAAAACTCTCAATTTACTAATGTCAGCGCATATCTGATTAAATTAGCCAATATTATCGGCTGGATGGTTAAACGGTTGGGCTCTAATTATTACCAAGTTGAAGTTCTCCATCATCTTTCCATACTTGCTCTTATCCTCAGCCTTTTTGGACGACATGTGCACTCACATCTTAAGTGTTATATTGCTGTCATGTTTTGTGTGATGAATCTTTGTCTTTCTAAACTTTAGAGACTGAGAGCTGGTTGAGATGCCTCTGTAGTGAACTGTCTTTAAGGCGGACTGTGTTTAAGTTTGAGATCATGCTGTGCTTTAGTTTGAACATTGAAAGAGCAGGGTGCCTTTAAAAAGCCTTTCATTGTATCCAATTATCCTTCTTTGCAACACTTAACTATGTCCAATTAGGCTCATCTGCACTGACAGATTTATTTTGTGAAAACAATCACATAAATGATGCCAAATGAATACAACTACTTCTCTTATGTCCCTTTCTTCAGAACCTTCATTGATAAAATAAAATAGGGTAAAATAAAAAGTTCCATCTTTGCCCAGTAGTTTCAGAACTCTGAAGATGAAAATACACTATATATGAAATTTAAATTGATGATTGTACTCACTTATTCCATCAATAAGTCCTTAATATCCATGGACGGGGATATTCAGCACAGTTTTTAACTAAAAATAAGAAAGAATGCACGGTGCATTGCAAAAATGTCATCATTTCCATCTTAATATCTGTCACTCTCCAATAGATGTTTGTGGCTGAATGAAAGCTGCCACATACTAACTGTGAGTCAGTTTGTTAGTGTTTCATGATTATTGGCTCAGTATGTGTTGATGTTTCCCCCTCCAGTAGGCGTGGTTAGCAGAGTAACCTCTGTTTGCCTTTCTCTGTCTCTCTTCCCCCCTCATCATATTTCACTCTCCATCTCTTGTTCCCCGTGTCTCCTCAGGTTAGGAAGGATGCCATCTGTGAAGTACCAGAGAGGGGACATGGTGATGGGCCGCTGGCCGGGCAGCAGCCTGTATTACGAAGTGAAGGTGCTGAGCTTCGATGCCAAAAGTCAGCTTTACACTGTCATCTACAAGGATGGAACTGAACTGGAGCTCAGGGAGCAAGACATCAAGGTACTTCAGCATTTAGTTGTTGGAACGGTTGCAGATAACCTCTTTAGGCATAGGAAGAGGGTAAATTATATAAAAAGATGACGTTGACTTAAAAAAAACTTTAAAAGCAACATTTGATTGTTTATAATAGTTATGTAATCGTTTCTCAATCCATATTTTTCCCCTCAGAATGCAGCTGGTTTCCAGACCCGTTCTCGCTCCCGCTCTCGATCACCAGGCCGTCGCCGCAGTAGGTCACGCTCCCCGGCAAGGACCACACGGCGTACGTCCTCCCGAACGGCGGCAGCTGTCGCTGCTGCAGCGATAACAGAGAACGCTCCGTCCTCGCGCAGAGACGCAAGGCTGAAGGAGGCACTCGAAGTCCGGCTCAGTCCCCTGGTACGTGCCACAGCAGCCTTCTGAGTCTCCTGTCATGAGAGACGGCAATGTTTGAGTGCTGATGAATAGAAAGAGAGAGGTGGAAAGAGGTTATCAAAGAGTGGGAAAGGGTTAAAAAAAAATACAAAAAGTATTTAAACTGAGAGTAATTCAGCTGGCTTTAACACCTTTATAACATGTTGCTGTACGTTGGTTTGTTTCTACACTTCACACCTGCACATAACCCATCCATGAGGGGTTTATTTTTTGAGTGGTACTCTTGTCCCTCCCGTTCTTATGAATTGGAACTCCTCATGTATCTCATAAACACCTTCATGGTCGTCTTGGACCCGATGATAAACTGATAAGAGATTTCTCGTCAAAGCCCAAAGCCCCCATGACCTCACAAAGCTCTGATTTATAAGTCAAGTACTGTTGCTTTGATGGATTTCTCAGAAGTTTATTGAGTGTACACTTGAGCAGGGTAATATCTGTGAAGGTGTCACAATGTTTACATACTGAACTGTCATCATTGTTTAATGTAGGCTGTCACGAGGTTAGGTACTGGTTTAGTTTACATCCTTCACATTCAGTCTTACAAACATGTTCACGTCTGTAGTAGGTGTAGGTGAAAGCTTTGAGATGCCGGGACATGAAAGGATGATGTTGAAGGGGGGGGGGGAAGAAACACAAACTGTTTTGCTGTTTGACGATGTGTGAAGGTCGTAGAATTAAACGTATAAAAGACGATCTAGTCCATGGTGTGCTGTCCTCCACCATCAGTACCTTGTCATTGTGGGGAAATGTGTTTCTGTCTGTCCTTCTGGATTGTGACCACAACACTCACGCTCCCCTCTGCCTGTTCCTCACCTTGTTGTTTTTTTTTCTCTCCTTTTTTGTCTCTCTCTCCATTTCCATCAATCTCCCTCCATTGTGTGACGGACAGGATCAGACAATACCCGCCGAGAACAATAGCAACAATAAGCATGAACAGAAAGAGGAGAATAACACTGCTAACAAAGTGAATGAGGTGAGTTTTCTCCTCTGATACCTAAAAGAGCTTCATCTGTTTCCACTGAGAGAAGCTCGATACATCTGTAGAGAAACACACTCGTTCACAGACGACAAAATCATCGACAGCGAAGGCTAAAACTGCAAAGTTTGAAGGGCTGAAAAACGTTCTGTCTTTGAGCCACGACAATAGAAACCCTCAGATGCTCTTTTATTCAAAGGCTTTCTACTTTGAAATGACTCTAATCAGACACACACACACACACACACACACTAACCCCCCACATGTTCCAGGCACTACTCTCTTTCTGGTGGTGAATGGGCTTTGAGGTAAGTCAGAGCTGCTGGAATGTCATGATGCATGCACGTTGGGGGGGCCGTGTGTTTTCCAGCTGAGAGAGGCTCCCCTCAGAAGATTGTACTTCATTGAGCCAGTCACACGGCACGCTGACATGTGCCTCCTCTTTAGTTTCAATGACAGCTTTGCTGCTCTACACCAAAGAATAAAAAAAGACTCGTATAGACAGCAGTGCAGGTGTTTCACTTCTTTGTTTTGCCTTACTCTCTACGTCTGTTTGGTTTCTGGTAGCTTGTTTTTGTTTTTAAATCAGATGTCTAAGTAGAACAGCAGACCAACGATCTGGCTTCTCGTGTCACTCTTAGTCAGTATGACAATGTGACCTTGTGGTAACCTTGTGGACTATGTGACCTTGTGGTAATCCTGAATAGGTAGACCCTCAGAAAGAAGCTTTCTGAGGGGGGACAATAAAGGAGCTCAGTCTGAGCCTTTTTTCAGTAAGTAAAGCCATATAATGACTTCATCAACAGAATACGTCCCCTTAACGAGACAATCTGTTGGAAACGTACTGTTAGATATGATTCTTTAATGTTTAGATTGTGATTTGATCTTTTTCAGTTGAACAACCTTTGTCTTGTTTGATCTTAGTGTACTGATTTTCACATGAGGAATTCATCCTTACTGCCAGTTGTGTTAAAGTAACACGTTTATGAACAACAGTACAGAAGGCCTGATTCAACTTTCCTGCCAGATCAGTTCATTTCTTTTCCATTGTTGTCGTTTGGACTCGTTGCAGACTGTTTGCAGCTCCACTCATATAACCAGTCATTCATGTGCTCAAGATATTCAAACACAAGAGTTCTGTAAATGTTCTGTTAATGTTTATCACACGAGGTTCAAGATACACAGAACTGGTCCAAAAGTAAAATTCTCTGTACTTCAGATTACTGTGATCATCATACAGGGAAAAACGCTGCTGTCTCTCTCTTCAGTTTGGAAAGTTCTCTTGGTATCAGATAGTGTTATTTAGACAGATAGCAGTTTGTAGATTTTTACTTAATTATGCAACACAAACAGAGTGAGAGAGCCAGCTCCTGCAGCCACATGTCAGAGTGTCCTTCAGCAAGACACTTAACCCCAAGTTACTCCTGCTGCTGTATGAATGGATGAGTTAATTATGATATTCTCTCACAGCAGCCTCTACCATCAGTGTGTGAATGTGTAGGTGTAAAAGAGCTTTGAGTGGTCAGAAGACTAGAAAAGAAATATACAAGCTAAAGTCCATTTAGCATGTTCTATTTGTTTGTTTACAACAAAATGCTAAATCCGAAGTATTCAATGTGTTCTGAGAGTGCGTCATGGCTGATACATCCCGCCTCATGGACTCTCAGCACTGACCGGACTTATGACCCCACTACGTTAAAATTGTTTTCATTATGTTTAACTTTGAACTATGACATGTGAGTTTTTATGAATTCCAAATAAGTATTGTTCTTTTCTGTCTTTCTCAGGTGGAGGCGGAGCCTGAGAAGAACCAAAGCCGATACAATCTGCGCCGCAGGAAGGACGACGGAGATGCCAAACAAGCCGAGGTCAAACCAGAGCAGCTGGAGGAGAAGGAAGCCAAGCTGGCTGCAGCGCCTGCTGCCATCCCAACCCCGCTCGACTTTGGAGGGAAGATAGGTAGATTAATGATGGATAGGAAAGCCATTTCTATATACGGCTGCTAGCCTCGGTGCCCTTCTGTGCTAGCATAAACCATGCATACGTTTCATTCTAGGTGATGTGACACATTCATGAACCAAGAACAAAAGCAGGATTATTCTCTTAACTTAATTGTACTTGTCATAAACTACTTTCTGATGATTGTCGATTGTTGTAAACAAAGCCTATCAAGTTTACGTGTCCTGGTTTGTCTTTTCTTTCTAACAGGAGCGTACTTCTGGTTGCTCTTCCTGCCGGCCTGGGTTCTCTTCGTGGTACTCCAAGTAAACTTGGAAGACCCCAGCCTCGCCAACTTCCCCCCTCCTCTGCCCCCCCTCGAAACCTTCTGGGATGCCCAGGCATTTGGATTTGTTGTCCTCTGGATGTTATTCCAGGCCTTGATCTACATCCTGCCAATTGGAAGGGTGAGTGACTAGCTAATAGAGATTAACTGAGGCGGTTTTAGTTCCAGACATTTCTCCTCTGTTAACTAGTGTGAAACATCATCAGTACGGGTTTCCACTGAACCAACAGACAGAGGTGGAGATGTTTCAGCTTCCTAGCTCCCTGTGTTCTCGTTTGCTGGAAAGACACACGTGAAGCAGCACAAGATTTTCTGTTAACTCTGGCAGGAAGTGGAGATTGGATTAATGGTCAGGAGTCACGGTTAATGAGATGATCCACAGGAAAGAGGAAGTTGTTTGCACTCTTCTCTACACTCACTCAGATTACTTCCTCAAGACCTTCATCATAAACCGTGTAAACACTTTAGTGTTCAGTTAGTCAGCCCAAGCAGAAGTTTCTTCTTAACAAAGATCAAGCCCGGCTGTCAGACGTCTTTGATCTTCTCTGTCCTGTCTCCTCGTCTGTCCTCGGGTGTCTGAAATCATCTGATTTAGTGCCTAAAGTAAATGTCAACCTGTCAGATAAAAGTATGTGTGAGCTTACCGCGGCTGTCCTCACACCCTGTGAGCCATGAATGCTATTAACCAGCGAGTTCATTGTTGATAGCACAACTCTGTTACGCTCTGCCAAGACATGGATCTGTGTGGCACAAGTTTGAATACACGCATGTGGCTGTAGTGCTTTCACTAGGAAACAATGACGCCACCAGCCGCGGTCCTGTGTAAAAAGAGGTAGAAACACAGAGATTTGTGACAGCTCAGGTCGAGTCCCGGTCTTCTACATGTTTCACTCTGACTTTAAAGAGCAGAAGCAGGCGGACTGTGTCGAGCCGCTCTCAGTGTTTACTGACTCTCTAGTACAACAGTCGACCTGCTTCAAGTTGTGACTGACGACTCGCTTGTCTCAAGTTGAAACGCTTTTATTTTGAAAGAGCCATATAAGGAAGTGTGGTGTTTTCAGCAGCAGTTGCTTAACGCGCCTTCACAGGAGACACAGAAAACTAAAACCACACAGATTCAGTCACAAAACTACAGATTGTAGACACAGTGACTCAGTGAAACATTCCTCTTTAGTCTTGTGCATTCTCATGAGCTGAGTGAGGGCATCACTGGCTTGTTTGAGAGGGAGAAGGAGGGTCGTAGTGTGTTCACATGTGCCACTCCTTTTATTGTTGTAGTACCACGATATAATACTGTTACTGCAAACAAAAATACTGTGATGTGAATTAATTTACCCTCCTCTGGTTCCTTGTGAATGAGTTATTTTAATTGGTCCGCTATTCTAATCCCAGTATCTTCTTTTTACCTCTCCAGCTGAGTGAGGGGATGCCACTTAGGACTGGGGAACGGCTGAAGTACAGAACCAATGGTGAGCTCTCTGTCTGCTACTCGTACCGCAGTGAAGTCAACAAATGTTAGTAAGTGCCACTCATGTTTCTTTTGTGTCCTCTGTCCTAAGGGTTCTTTGCCATCCTGTTGAGTTCTGTCCTGGCTGCTGCAGCAGTGCATCAGGGCTTTGACCTCACCTACATCCACAGCCACTTCCTGCAGCTGGCCACGGCCTCCTTCCTCATCTCCGCGCTGCTCAGCATCTACCTGTTTGTCCGCTCTCGGTACGCTGCCCCAGAGCATCTGGCATTTGGGGGGAACTCTGGTAAGAGGAAGGCTTTATATTTTCCTGATTACTGCTCAGATTTATTGCGTGTTTCTGGTCGTATTTTTGACTCAGCTGTTTCATACTTTTTATTTCATTTTTTTCAACAGGACATGTGCTGTATGACTTTTTCAAAGGACGTGAGCTCAATCCTCGCGTCAAAAGCTTTGACCTGAAATTCTTTTGTGAGATGCGCCCTGGTCTGATTGGCTGGGTGAGCAGACACATGTCTTTGTCTTGTAAAATCTGAGCATGTGACAGACTTCAAAGTTAATTTTATGTTTTCATTCTTTCATTTCTCTATTTGTTCATTTGATCTTTTTATTTTCAATACTGCTAATAATGGATTTAAAGAAACTGGCACTATTATTTCTTTCCCCCACTGCCCTCTAGTGGCCATGTGTAGAATTAACTTCCATCCTCAGTCAGGCAGGAAGTAAGTGACAGTGTTGTGTTTTCCTCTGATTCAGTCGGTGCAGACGTTCAGCTTCGATTATTTGGCAATTTGGATATTTATCTTATGATCACTGAACGTCAGCACAAGTGTTCTGGATTATAAAGCTAAACATTTGCAATCGTTGTGAATAATTGTGTTTGTGTGTATTCTTCAGTGTTTGATCAACTTTGCGATGGCGCTGGCTGAGATGAAGCTGCAGGGTCTGGATGCTCCATCATACTCAATGATCCTTGTCAACCTCTTCCAGCTTCTCTATGTGGTGGACGGCCTCTGGAACGAGGTGAGCTCAGCTAATCATGACACGCTGAATTATAACACATTTTAAAATAGTATTATAAAGAAAGTGTTCTTTTAAAGACATTATCAACTCTGTAGTTTAAAAACAGCTGATTAACCGTGTCTTCCTGTTTCCCCAGGAGGCCATCCTGACCACCATGGACTTGATGCACGATGGTTTTGGCTTTATGTTGGCGTTTGGGGATCTGGTGTGGGTTCCCTTTACTTACACCCTTCAGGCCTACTACCTGGTCAGCCACCCGAACCCGCTGAGTCTCCCTGCCCTCGCAACTATCGTCACACTCAAACGTAGGAAGGAACAAATTGTGTTATTTAATACGATGTTTACATGTACTGTAGATCTTTCAGTCTGCTTCATCTTATAAACCATACTATATTAAAAAGCTGAGTGTGCAGCTGCCCCCCAGACTACTTAACCACGTGGTCTGGGCTGGGCTGCTGGCTCCACTTTTCAGCAGTTTTCTCATTAGGTCATAGTCGTGCTTTTTAAGGAAGATGGGGTACTAAGTTCAGGAAATGAAATCCAGTGAGGTCTCTCAGCAAGTTGTTAGTGTGCTGCTGATCCATACTTCATAATGATAAACTTAAACATAGTTCAAGAGGTCAACTACTGCACTGCCAGCTAGCAGGATTACAAACTCCATGTGGGGAAAACAGATGAAATTAGAAAGAGCTACAGAGAATCCAGAATATGAATCACAGTCTGTGTTTGGAGTTCTCTCAGAGGGAACAAAAGGGTTAAAACTGTCTTCCTGCGGGATGATTTCCACTTCCTTCAGGGAATTCTACAAAGTTCAGTTTACCATGTGTCTTCACTTTGTGGAGCTTGTACTCTTTCTAACTGGAAATGGAAATAAACTGTAGGCATGACACGTGCGTCTTTATGTTTAAATTTGTGTCTTCTGGTTTCTCTCTGTTTCAGTTGTTGGCTTCTACATCTTCAGGACATCCAACTCTCAGAAAAACGCCTTCAGGAGAAACCCGTCAGACCCCAAACTGTCACGTAAGTTCTCTGCTTAAATGTCATGGTTTCAAAATGAGTCAACTGGAGTGCAAGATGAGTCAGAGAGAATACAGTTTACATACAGGAACTTATAGGAAATTCAATGCGAGTAACATACGTAAATTTCAAGATATGTTGGAAAAGGTATCTTTTGAAAATGTTTTTAAGGAGAGTGATGCTAATTTGGCTTACAATATATTCATGAACTCATTTAATTCAGTATTCTATAAAAGTTTTCCTTTAGTAACTTGCTCAAAAAGGTTGGATAAAGATAATAATTATAATGCTTGGTTTACTGCAGGCTTGAAAAAATCATCAAAAAAAAACAAAACTCTATAAACGATATATTTTATGTCCTACACCCCTAAATCAAGCAAATTCTAAATTGTATAAGAATAAATATAATCATCTTCTTAGAGTAGCCAAAAAAAGCTTTTTCAGTCAGCAGTTCAAGAATTCTGCAAGGAACATCAAAGCTACATGGAAAATTATAAATCAGCTACTCCAAAAGAAAAAACCATCAACAATTTTTCTGATGGGAAAACATCCATCACAAGTCGTTTCGATGTTGCTTGGAAATTCAATGAGTTTTTTGTGAATGTGGGAACTTCCATCTCTAAGCAGTTTGGCAACACAAATGAAAGTCCAACCGATTATATCAGAGGTAGCTTTCCATCATTTTGCTCGTTTGATCCTCTTAACTGTAATGAGATAAATTACATTTATTATAGAGCTAAAACAATCTGCCCCGGGTCATGACGGCATTAGTGCAACCCTTGTTAAAGAGGTAAAAAGATCAATATTGAAACCGCTCTTGCATGTTTTTACGGTGTCCATGGAAACTGGTACTGTTCCTTCTGATCTTAAACTGGCAAAGGTTATTCCACTTTTTAAATCGGGTGATCCAGGACATTTTACAAACTACTGTCCCATCTCAGTTCTTCCATGTTTTTCCAAAATCTTAGAAAAACTAGTATATAAACGCATCCTCAAACATTTGAACATGCATTGTAGCCAGTTCATACATGAACTGTATGAACACCAGTATGGATTCCGAAAAAATCACTCTGCCTATATGGCCCTCTTACAACTAGTGGACAAGATTCATTCTGCATTAGAAAAAAAAGCGTTTTCATGTGGTATTTTTCTGGATCTCTCTAAAGCATTCGATGCTGTAAATCATGAAATTTTATTAGCTAAACTATATAGATATGGATTTAATGGAAATGTCCTGAAGTGGCTCAGTAATTATGTATATAACAGACAGCAGTATGTCAACATAAATGGTGTAGAGTCTGAGAGAACTATGATGCAGTGTGGGGTCCCACAAGGGTCCATTTTAGGACCGTTACTGTTGCTCATATGCTCATATACATTCACGATCTTGCAACAGTATCAAACACAATATGCCCATTATTATTTGCAGATGATACTAATTTACTTGTCTCCAATAAAAACTTGTCAGAACTCATGAATGAACTAAATGATGGCCTTCTTGAATATTCAAAATGGTTTAAAACAAATAAGTTGGCATTAAATGTGAAAAAAATCTAACTTCATGATATTTGCTGGAAAAATGAAATATAACTCTGAAATGGTGAAATTGTATATAAATGATGAAGAAATGACTAAAGTAACATCAACAAGATTCTTAGGGATCTTAATTGATGAGAAACTTACATGGAAAGATCACATCATCTCTGTCTGTAGTAAGGTTACAAAATCTCTAGGAATTATTAGAAAAAGTTGTGTTTTTTTACACTCTTCTTGTATCTCAACATTATATTACAGCCTAATATATCCATATCTTACTTATTGCAATATTGTATGGGCCAGCACTTTCCAAACATATCTTCATAAAATTCTATTACTCCAGAAACGTTTTGTCAGAATGGCAACTTTTTCCAAGTCCTGTGATGCAACCTCCCCTCTTTTTCTGAAGTGTAACATATTGACAATCTTTGATATCAATATTCTTCAAATAAGTATTTTTATTTTTAAAGTTAAATACATGAGTGAAAACTTGCCAGACAGCTTTAAAGCATTTTTCATCTTTAATTCTCAAGTGAACTATTACTCAACTAGACAAACCAATAACCTATACCTAAACCTGTACATCTCGAGGACAGTACTCAATAAGATACCGTGGAGTCAAATTATGGCACACGCATATTTATTTACTTAATGATTCTTTGTCTTTTTCTAGATACAAATTGAGACTCAGAAATGCGTTGATGTCAGAAAGATTTGTCCTGCTTTGCTCTATTTTTATGTTTTCAATGTTTGTATGTAATTTTAAATTGGGTAAATTGTATTTGCAATAGTAAATATTCTTACTTTATTTTTTACTGTATTTTTATTTAACTTTTGTTAAATCTCTTAAGGTGAGGTTTTGAGATAAGCCCTCATGGGTTTCTACCTCACCTGCACATGTGTTTTATTTTTTATTTATTATTTATTTTCTGTTTGATTCTTCTTTCAAAAAATGTGCAAATAAACTAAAACTAAACTAAACTACAGTTATGTTTATGTAGAAATACTCAGATGATGATTCTTTTGAATTTATTTGGCACATTTAACAGGAACGCTGGATTAAACCCAGGAACATGAATATCTCATGACATGGGGATTTAAAAAAAATAGTAATATATCACATATTCATTATTATTATTATTATTATTATTATTATTATTATTATAAGATCAAACAGCTGTTTTCATTAACTTTTCCACCAGAGCCTCTTTTCCATAGCTTAGTTTTTGTAACCTTCAGTCTACCAGAAGTTCTCGATTGTTTTTCAAAATAAAAGTATGTTTGGACCCACACAGGAAGTAAAGTAGCCATAGCTCAAGACAGGCTCAGTTGGTAGAGTAAATTTTCTCTCAACCTGATGGTCGGGGGTTCGATCCCGAGCTCCTGCAGTCTCATGTCAGAGTGTCCTTGGCCAAGACGCTTAACCCCACGTTGCTCCTGTTGTGAATGTGTATGAATGGATTAGTTACCTCTGATCGAATCTTTACATAGCAGTAAGTGAATGTGTAGGTGTGACCTGCTGTGTAAAAGAGCTTTGAATAGTCAGAAGACTAGAAAATAAATATATGCTAAACTCTAGAATAGACAACCTGCTATTTCAATTAAAGATTCAGTGATCGATCGTGACCTTAGTTTGACCCTAGTTTAACTGTGTTTGTCTGCTCTGTCCAGATCTGAACACCATCCCCACGGCGACAGGGAAGAGTCTGCTGGTGTCTGGCTGGTGGGGTGTGGTCCGCCACCCCAACTACCTGGGAGACCTCCTCATGGCTCTGGCATGGTCGCTGCCTTGTGGTGAGTTCACATTAAAGATGAACGTTAAAGTTATCAAACAGTAAGAGAGTTATTCAGAGTGACATATCCACTCTCACTCTGGGAAAGATGGAGACACCGACCAGGCTGGCTGAGCGACTTTTTCACATCTTTTCTCTGTCACGAGGTCATAATCATGCATTTAAAGAAGACGATGGTATATAATTCAGTAAATAAACCTTCTAAATCAGGGGTGCCCAACCTTTTTTTAAATAAAAGATCTACTTTTAAAGTTACCAGTCTGCCGAGATCTACCAGTCCACATAGTGAGCCGTAGCCTTTACTGACAGCCTACAAACGCATTTAATACTCACACAACAAACAGAAAATAATTTCAGAATTTTTTTTTTTAAACTCTTATTTTAGGGTATTTTGTATTTATATCACATATGTTTTTCCCTTAATTTAGTTTACAACAAACAACTTTAGTCTGTGTGGAGATGCTCACAGACTACAGCAGGCTGCTGTGAGATGATTTTGCTTTTGTTAAATTAGCTGCAGACACGGTGAGAGTGAACGGAGTAAAGTCCAACCGACCGTTTGACCGGGTCACGTGTGTTCACGCCTCGGTCCGTAAAGATCAACTGTGTGTTGTAGCACTAAAAGTGCGTGCGTGCGTGCGTGCGCTGTATGTTGGTGTGTCTCGTGCCCCGTGATGCTCACAGTCATGACAGCAGAGAGGAGCAGAGAAAAGTAGCTGCAGCTACATCTATATATGACTTTTTGGGAAAACATTTACCCCCCCCGGTTTTACCTGCACGCCCTTGCGCATGCCTGCACTCTCTCTTGCGCGTGCGCTCTCTCTCGCTCTCTCTCTCGCCCCCCCGCTCGCTCTCTCGCGCTCTCTCATGCACGCAGCAATTTCATGAATAAATGAAAAATTAAATACAAACAGGTCGGAAGTATACTTGGGCTCCCAACACAGGTATCGTCTATGTGTGGGAAACACTGCAATGAGATGAAATTGAAATCACTTTTCTATTTTACAATTGTATTTTATATTGACTAAACATCTCGCGATCGACTGAGAATCAGTCAGCGATCTACCTGTCGATCGCGGTCGACTGTTTGGGCACCCCTGTTCTAAATGAAAGAGTCCTATATTAAAGTTAAAGAGACACTAGGAGTCTCTGCTTCACAACAGTCACTGCAGGCTGAGAGCTCGACTAGTGGACTGTAGCTGGTGGGAGAGAAAACTCCACATGGTGAAAACAAACAACTGAAAGAGCGACACAGAAACTGCACGTTGTAGACTTGGTTGAACACAATAGAAATCTTTTAAACCTTAAACTGCATCATTTACCGGTGCGTCTTTTATTTTCATCAATCTTTATTTGTATAGGGTCAACTCATAACAAGTGTTATCTTGAGACACTTTACAAAAAGCAGGTAAAAGACCTTACTTAATGCTATGTTACAAAGACTGGCTTAATCCATCATGGGCACTTTAGCAAAGCAGCAAAAGTTACAGTGGTAAGAAAAAACTGCCTTATTAAAAGGCAGAAATCTTCGGCCAGATCCCCGGCTCATGACGAAACAGCCTTCACAGGCCTAGACTGCGCCGGGCTTGTTGTTCAGGCAGCCCGTCCACCAATGATCCCTGAATTTTACGAAGCCGTTTAGTCACCTCAAAAACAAGTATCTCAGAGAAGTCACTGCATGCAATACACACTGAGTGGGAGTGACTTTCAGTTGTGTCATGTCGACTGACCTCACAGTAATGACGGTGCCTCAGTATGTTATACTGGGATTTCAGTCAGACAGGTATATAGGACACAGCTAACTTTGTAGATGAAAAAAAAAAAGTATTAAAAACGGTAACAAGTTGTCTTTAAAGATGACAGCAGACAGCGTACATGATGACTTGTCATTAGTATTTAAACGTGTCTCTCTCTTGTCCAGGTTTCAGTCACCTCCTTCCATGGTACTACATGATCTACTTCATCATCCTACTCGTGCACAGAGACTCCCGCGACATGACCGAGTGCAGGAGGAAGTACGGCTCGGCGTGGGACGAGTACTGCCGGACTGTCCGCTACCGGATCATTCCCGGCGTCTACTAAGAAAAGTGACGGACTCTCGCCCTCTTTGTCCCAGCGTGACGCCTGAGACGCCTCACTAGACAAACCCAAAACAGCCAACGGATTGACCGACTGATTTGTATTTTAGATTTTATTTTTTACCAAGAGTTTTTAAAAAAATCTCCTCTGTGGACTTGAAGGCGCTGCAGAATATTTTCAGGAAAACAAAGATGCTCATTGGTTTAACGGACTGTTTGAAGAAATGCCTTCTCTCTTTTTATTTTTATCTAAAAAAACCTCCAAATGTTGGTTCTAAAAGTTTACAAAATGGGCAAGGAAAAAGAAAATGCCTCTGCTTGGGACGTCTTGTTAGGATGTATATTTTTGTATATACTCATTTGTTTTTATACCGCAGGAAAACTCCCAGCGTGCATCACTTCTGCTCAGTTTCCCTCTCCGCTTCACGACGTTCAGCTCGGCTGTGATGAAGCGCTGCGTCAGAATGTCTTCCTGCTACGTGTGTGTGTGTGTGTGTGGTGACGCTGGGGATTGATGATGACTACAGCGGAGCGAGGACTTCGACCTCTCTCAGGACGCGGATCAGAAACAAAGTGTCTCCATGAATTTCTGGTGTAAAATGTTTTTATAGAAATCTAGTTTTGGACTTGAGAGTGTACAAATGATTTTGGTGGTTTCAGGAGAGATGCACTAATGTGTGTCGGGTATTTTATTTTCTTATATTATGGATTCCAAAGTGTGTTTGATTTGGCTTTGCTACCTCAGGTTCACTCACTGTCCAGTCCCTCTCCCCCACCCCTGTCTCGTTTCCCCTGTGGGCGACAGTGTGTGACATTATGAGTGTGACATCCCAACTTTAGAAAAAAAACACGATTTCAACAATGATGTTTCTGTCTGTTCTGAACAAGCCTCAGCCCCATCCTCACTTCACATTACCACTTTTGTTATTGCGCTCATGAAACTTGTATCTCCCCGCTACTTCCTGGATCACGTCTTTTATCGTGACTTGTTTTTTTTTTTGTTGATTTTTGTTTTCCATCACTGCCACATGAATGAAGCTTTAATGTTCTCGGTCATCTGACATTTCAAATGAAGTTTATAAACTGTGACGGCGCGCGGGGCTCGTGAATGTGCGTGCATTTATAACCACTGCTTTTTACAAATAAGTCTTTTTTTACGCTCGTGCAGCTCAAGGCGAGGTCAGAAGTAGCGACACAGCAACTAGACGTGGTAGCGTTTCTTTTTCTGCTGTGCTGACTGAAAACCATGTAAATATAGTTTGTTTTTAATCATGTTGTTTTTCCAACACGTAGCCATCATAGTCATGTTCCTCATTAGATATTTAATTTTGCTTTTCTTATTTTGTCATTTTAATTTGGACCGGAGAAGTCTGACACCTGTCACCTGATCACACAGGAAACACGTTCCTGTTTGAACACATCACTCTTTGTTAAAGAGAGCAATAATCTGCTTCTGGGAGAAAACAATGAAGAGTCTCTTGGTTGATCGGATTGTTCCATGAGGACAAAACACATCTGTTATAAAAAAAAAAGAAGCTTATCTGTACGAATGTTGCAGCATGGAATAAAGATTTACAGTATTTCTTTATGGCTCTAGTGAGTGTGTCTGAATCTTCTGATTCACAGAGGCTCTACAGGCTGGATGTTCAGCTGCAGTGAGAGCTACTCGGTGGTGCTGTGGACATGTTGAGCGTCACATGCATGTGCAGGCGACCTCCAGGCCAACTACCCTCAGGACCTGCCGACTCTTCCATGAATCGGACGTAGGACCCTCAGTAATATGTACGACCTCACAGAATACAGAACTTGTGACAGAAGCAAAAAACTGGACAAAACAAGCGTGTTTAAAAACATCCACAGAAAAGAGAAGCATATTGTGACCCTCTGAAAACTCCTCTGCGACACACTTTTGGGTCCCAACCTGCCACCCAGCTGTTTCCTCCAAAGGGTGCGGCCTGGGATCGACTCCGACCTGTGGCATGTCGTCCCCACTCCCACTCTCTGTTTCCCCACTCATAATAACCAAGGCATAAGGGAGTTATCAATGGCCTGACTTTTATTTGTTATTTCTGTCATCATATTGTTTTTATATATTATCCATTATCTGTACCGCTTTTACCGTTTAGGGTTGTGGAGGGCTGGAGCTGATCCCAGCTGTCATTGGGCGAGAGGCGGGGGTACACCCTGGACTGTTAGCCAGTCAATCACAGAGCTGACATGTAGAGACAGACAAGCAGCCACACTCACTCCCATTCACACCTACAGATAATTTAGAGTCACCAGGTAACCTAAGCAGCATGTCTTTGGACTGTGGGAGGAAGAGGGAGTACCCAGAAAGAACCCACACATGCAAACTCCACACAGAGAGACTCCTGTCAGACGGGGATTCAAACCAGGAGTTCATGGTATAAGTTTGAATAAATCTTCTTCACCTCATGAAATTGTGTTGCTCTACAAACTCTCCTTTTTGAACAGGTTCTTAGGTTTCTCTAAAGGTAGGAGGGAGTTTATTCTTCCAGATTGTCTGACCTGAAAATTTGACCCAGAAGACTTCAATAATCCATGACAGTGTTTCCTTCACGTTGAATTTACCTTTGTATTTACAAAAGCCTTGCCTCTTTGTTATGTCTGTAAGATCACTTCATGACAAACTAAAATCACTCTCCACCTCCAGTACGTCTGAAACATGCACACATGTAGAATATTATTTCCCTTTATGAAACGATGGAGAACAGCTCCATCTTGTGGCAGCTTGTGGTCTCAATGCATGAGGTGGATTAAATAATGACTGAGCCTTTCATAAGGATTCACTATCCTAAGAACTTTTTATACGTTTATCACAACAACACACATAGTTTAAAAGTGGTTAGGGTTAGGATAGTGGTAGGAAGGATATGGCATTTATTTAAAAGGAGATGTATCGCTTTGATGGGAAACCCCTGAACAAGATGAACATCTGGATCCAGCAGCGGCCTGCATTAGTAAAGGTCGCAACCATGTGACGTCAGAAGATAAAAGAAGATCAAAAAGAGAGGAGAACTTTTCAACGCGCTCTCATTCAAAGAGATCAAATGTGATATTTGTCTCTTAAGTGATGAAGCAAAGAAACCATTTTATGATATACAGTACTTCATCCATATTTGTCTTTGGACCAGGTGTTTTTTAGGGACAGGTGAAATTAGTGTTTTTTCCCAGAGGGTGAGGATGGTGTGCTCTCAGTAGTGATGTGCAGTTCTTTTCAGTGTACTGAATCAGTAGAATCAGTTCAGTAAAGTGATTCGTTCAAAAGATTCGTTCACCGAATCGTTCAGTACTTCTCCGCAGCTCTGTCTGTGAATCAGAATTTAATAAACTGAAACACGGCCGAACGTTTAGTTCTGCTCGCAATCGTACTGAGAACAGCCGGTGGTGAATAATAAGCCAATGAGCTGAGAATTTAGTTGGATAAAGCTACAGTTTGCAAACTGAAAGCTGCTAAAACAATCACATTTATTTTCCCCGACCGTTCTGTTCAGTATGTTCAGTACACAAATCACTCACTGACTGACTGACTGAGAGGGAGAGAGAGACTCGGAGGAGGAGCTCTCAGTTCGTTCAGTTCGTTCAGTTTTACACTCTGTTGTTAGACATGCTACAAACATACAGAGGCTGAAATACATACATACACAAACAGGATCCTGTGAACATGCACTAATGGAGAGATGTCAGAGTGAGGGCTCCTAACTGGTTTTGGGGGGGTTCGGTGCCTTGCTCAAGGTCACCTCGGCAGAGCTCAGGAAGTGAACTGGCACGTGTCCAGCTACCAGACCAGTTTCCAGACTTGGTCAGTGTAGCCACAAGCAGTAAACGTACGCTTTATGTCCTGCAGTGAGTGTGTGCTCCTGGAGGGGGCGATGAGCCCATGAGGAGGGGTCCAGTTTGAATGTTGTGTTTACAAACAGACTCCACCTTTAAGTTTCCTAACATGAGCTCTTTGCCTTCTTTCAAGAAATTTAAGTACATTTTTGAGTAAATGGGAGAGCTTGAGGCCGATGGAAACACATCATATTAACCTCTGAGGACGAGGCGGCTGCCCTTCATGGACCATCAATTTGTTCCCATGGTAACACACAGAACCCTCACAGCCCTCACCCAGGATCTGTACTCAAAGAAGGAAAGACAGTAAACTACTTTGTGCTGCAAACAAGAGCGAGTAAATTGTGTTTGAATGAATTAATGAAGCTGAGTTATTCCTCTAAGGTCAGCTCGGGTCTCATTATGCAACACAATAGTTTGTTTAATCAAACATCAAAGAAAAGCAGCACAGCCTCTGCTCAGTGTGCATTCCACTGTACTTTATCAAAACATTCAGGTTAAGGTCTGTAAATGCTGAAAGAAAGGGCAAGAGGGAGGGAGAGAGAGAGAGAGAGAGAAAGAGACAGAGAGAGATAGAGGGAGAGAGAGAGGGGAGGGAGAGAGAGAGAGAGAGAGGGGAGGGAGAGAGAGAGAGAGAGAGAGGAGAGAGAGAGAGAGAGAGGGAGGAGGGAGAGGGAGAGAGAGAGAGAGAGGAGGGAGAGAGAGAGAGAGGGAGAAAGAGAGGAGGGAGAGGAAAAGGAAACAGTGGTTTCGACGAGGCTAATTGATTTGAAAGTCTCTTTGAAGTCAGGAGTGTGTGAAGCGTATAAAATAGCTCAGTGATTTCTTGGAGTCATATACACTCTGCAGCCTCTTCTCTTCTCTTCACTTCACTTCATGTACTTCACTTTTCGTCCTGACTCTCAGAGGGGTCTGGTTGTTTTTTAAATACGCTCTGTACACAACAAAAGATTGACAGACTTATACTGTGTGGAATTCATCCCAAGAGGCAACCTCCCATCTTCAAAAATGAAGCACATGTGGAAGTGCAAAATCCTGCAGTTTGTGTCCGCTAGAGGCTGTCTCCAGTAACACCTGGAGTCACATACACACAACAGGCAAAAAGGCCTGTTTACAGCCTGTTTAAAAAAAAAAAAAAAAAAAACAGGTCTGATTAGTTATTGTCATCTGTAGGGAGATAATTTTTTTTAAATGGCTCCCTTTTGATTTTATGAATGATACATGTTATTCACAGTAAGGCATGTAGCTGACATGATTGACAGGTGGGCGTGATGTAACGGTTCATCAAGAGGATTAAAATGCGCCTCAGCTCCAGCTCTCAGCCTGTTGTTAGGTTGACTGAAAGTTAGACTGAAAGAGGATTTCCAACATGGCGGCTGCTGCTGATGAGCCTCCAGCACCCCCTGCAGGAACAGACAGGTGACATCACTCAGGCTTCAAACATTAATATTTACAGTCTATGGTTGATCCCCATTGGTTAACTCATCTCACTTCAGGGAAATAATTCACTAAACAATGGTATTGAAAGGATTTGTGTTATTATTGATCACGTTGCTTACATTATTGGCGTTTTCACACATGCACAAAACTCAAGAACATGTCTCAAAATCTACAGGGTGAGCCTCAAACAGCTGAATTCTCTCTCCCAACTTTTTCCTTCCAGCTCCTTAATGAAATGTCTGTGTGAAGTCGGGCTGAGCCAATGTGTGGACGCAGCAGATATATTCAGGACAGTTCACCCGGTCAAGGACGGACGTGATGATGTATATTTTATTCACCCAGTGAGCGACCGACGATTTCTCCAGAAATTAAATAAAGGCAAAAAACTGTTGTTATAGGGTTAAATTGTTTGCCTGCCAACATGGATATTTATACATCACGTCCTGCCAAGAGACTGTATAAAACATGGACGTAGTAACAGTGACGTCGCCCTTTGGGTTCTGGAGTGGACTTTTGACGCCCATCGATGGCGGTCCCCATATTGGAAAGCTGTCTCAAGTCGACTTTCGGTCAACAGGCAAAGAGGTGGAGCTGAGGCGGGACTTAAGCCTCCTGGCAAACAGTTACAACATAGATCAGCCATGCCCCTTATTCAGAACAACTGTTAGACTTATCGTCATCAAACAGGTTGAGATGTAAAATAATTCACTCCGCTGTTCAGTCTGTACTGCTAAAGAACGGTTCAGAACAAATTGTTTTGTTTTCATTTCTGCTGTATTTGGACTTCCAGGGATTTAGCAGACAGCCTCCAGTGGACACTCGAGGAACTGCAGCTTTGGCTTCATTTTTCAAGTCCAGAGGTTGCAGTTTGGTCCCGCCTCCTGAGACACCCTGCCACCCTATCACTACAGGGAACAGTGAGGGACAAGTTTGACAACAGGCTGTTCTCAGCTTGTATTCCCACATCATTTCCTGGTAGCTCCTGAGCTCTGTTGTCTCTTCCTCTGGATCGTTATTTGTCCTGTTTGTCTCTGTCCCTCTTACCTGCTTTTTATCAAAGAGGCTGCAGGGAGCTGGGGATCGAGAAACGACCGACCCTACCACATCCGCTCCTCATACATTTCATGAAGTAAACTCCTATGTGATTGAATACACTTTGATCTGATATGGTACCTAAAAATCAAGAATCTCAACATCTGTTCTTGTTTGTACTTCGAAGTTCTCCTCATTATGTGTTTATGTATGTCCTTTTCATTTCCCTGTTTTTCTTTGGGAGTGGGGTTCTGCTGTTAT